ATATCATGATTGCAGATATTTGCACCTTTACAGTACAGCTGCAAATAAGGTCTAATTTAGTTATGGAAAGCGTTAAGAATTTGTTTCCACTCTTCATGTTTTTTCTGCTATACACTGGGGCCTGCATTTTCAAAAGTGGCTTCTAATTTTGGATGTTTCCATTGTGGTTGCCAAATTTTTAACAACCTGGCGGCTGGCTTTTCAGAAGTGCTGAGCACCCTCATCTCAGAATGAAATCCGTATATAAGCATGTGCCAAGCAATATGGATCATATCTAGTATCATATTTTTAGCACAACTCTCACAGTATTTTTCTTAGAGCCCCAGCTCCTGGAGTCATGTTATTAAATGAGAATTGCATTTAAAAATCAAAAGTAAGATTTAGACTTCATGGTTATGGACAAACATGACTCTTTAAGGCTCAGACACCAGAAAGCAAATAACCCCCACTCCCAGCCCCCAAATGTATTATTTTTAAAGTCAGTCTCATGACTTTGGGGGCCCTGACTTATGATTTTTGAATGCTTGCCTTAAACTATACCCTGAGTAGATGGAGGAAGCAGGAACAGAGGGAGAATGCTAGCAGTCAAAGAAATGGGCACATGGAAAATGTAATAAAAATCACTAAAATGTCCTTTAATATAACAGAAAAACAGGCGTTTGCCATTTTTTGTCACTCTTAGTTGCTTCTGCCATCTTGCACTAGACCAGTGGTTCCCAAACTGGGGTTCGCGAACCCCTGGGGGTTTGCAGAATGTTACAGGGGGTTCGCCAGAAAAATTTCACTCATGGCGACCAGAGGACCCCACGCATTGGAGGCAGCAGGTGGGACCTGGATGCAGGGCAGACAGCCCGAGCCCCAGGGAAAGCAGGGCCGGGCAGTTGGGGCTGGCAGCCCGAGCCCCAGGGAGAGCAGGGCCGGGCAGTTGGGGCTGGCAGCCCGAGCCCCAGGGAGAGCAGGGCCAGGCAGTTGGGGCTGGCAGCCCGAGCCCCAGGGAGAGCAGGGCCAGGCAGTTGGGGCTGGCAGCCCGAGCCCCAGGGAGAGCAGGGCCGGGCAGTTGGGGCTGGCAGCCCGAGCCCCAGGGAGAGCAGGGCCGGGCAGTTGGGGCTGGCAGCCCGAGCCCCAGGGAGAGCAGGGCCGGGCAGTTGGGGCTGGCAGCCCGAGCCCCAGGGAGAGCAGGGCCGCGTTGGGCTGGCAGCCCAGCCCCAGGGAGACAGGGCGCAGTTGGGCTGGCAGCCCGAGCCCCAGGGAGAGCAGGGCCGGCAGTTGGCTGGCAGCCCGAGCCCCAGGGAGAGCAGGGCCGCAGTTGGGGCTGGCAGCCCGAGCCCCAGGGAGAGCAGGGCCGCAGTTGGGGCTGGCAGCCCGAGCCCCAGGGAGAGCAGGCCGCAGTTGGGCTGGCAGCCCGAGCCCCAGGGAGAGCAGGGCCGGGCAGTTGGGGCTGGCAGCCCGAGCCCCAGGGAGAGCAGGGCCAGGCAGTTGGGGCTGGCAGCCCGAGCCCCAGGGAGAGCAGGGCCAGGCAGTTGGGGCTGGCAGCCCGAGCCCCAGGGAGAGCAGGGCCGGGCAGTTGGGGCTGGCAGGCTGAGCCCCGGCGGTCAGCGGGACCTGCAGCCCAAGCTCAGTGGAGCTCAGTTGACCGGAGCGGTCAACGGGGTCCAGCAGCAGGAGCCCCACGGCGTGCGGAGAAAATTTAAACTTAAATCCCTGGAAATATTCATTTTTAGGAGGGGGTTCACGAGATTTCACAATTTAGTGAAAGGGGTTCACGGGCTGTTAAAGTTTGGGAACCACTGCACTGGACCATTGCTGTACCTGACGCTATATTAAATGAAAGAAAACAATGTTTTTACCTGGAGGTTCCTGAACTGGAAGTTAGAGAGATATATTGCGATACCAGACAGGCACAATCAGGACGTGTTTTGTGGTCCATTCGTACCCACTATCTCTGGCACAAGGCCAAAGCCTCTAAGGTACGTATTTAAGGCCCCCTAAAACTCACTCTGCTGTGTCAGCAACTGTATTGATAACAAAACCAACAGCCAGTGGTTTTGTGGGTGCAGTAGCTCACGGTGATTCACACAGCCTGTTCTGTGATGAAGCGAGGGAAACTCGACTGTGGCTTTCGAGTGTGACTGGAGGCTCTTCTGATTCCTTGCCAGTAAATAAATACTTCAGTCAACTCCAAAAGCTCCTGTTTGCAAAATAAGCAGCACCGTCCACAGATTGGAAGGATGTCAGCAAAACTGTCTCCCTTGCCGTCTTTCGCAGGGCCAGGCCTCTTCATCCTAGAGGAGGTTCCTGGCGTGTCCTGTGTTAGGAACCCAAAATCCTCAGAGGCAGGCAAGGAGGAGAAGGAAACTGCCCCCCTCCTCTTGCAAGGAACTCACATCTGTGCCGTTAACTGATGTGATAGGCCGGGAGAACAGCACGTGGGTAGTCTTGTCTGAGTGTTCATGAGGAATTTAAGTAATTGCCCCATCTGTGGGGTATGGAGTAGACCCCTGAAAAATCTTTGCTGCACAAAAAGAGCCCAACCGGGACACTGACAATCGGCAGTGGAGGAGGAAGGGCAGAGCTTCACCCTGCTGTGGTGATGCTGATTCTCTGCGGCACTATTCCTGTCTTATCCTAGAGTAGCTCCATTGATTTCAGTGTAAAACTGGAGTAGTGCTGGGCAGGCCCCCAGGCTGCTAGCTGGAGACCATACGTTATGACCTAAGCAGTTAGATAGTGCTCAGCCCTGTGATCCGTAAATACGCATTGCCATTCTCTGACCGTTCAGAAGGGTTCTGAGCTGGTTCTGGCAGGCCCATGACAATAATGAAAACTCTGCTGCTCATTAGGGTTAGGCCAAACCGGAGCTTTGTTTTTGTTTTCAAGGGGGGTTGTATGAAATTAGAAAGGAGACTGCCAGTCCTGCTTGAAATGATAGGAAGTTACATTGGGACACTAGTGCAGCAGTTGGCAGAAGAACCCAGGTCATTGAATACCAAAGGAGCTCGACCTAATGGAATTTTCAGAGGATTAGCTCTGTTGATGAAGGTTATATTTGAAGGGTCCATTATGCTGGCTGTAATGCAGGATGCTAGTGGATCTTATGAAAATACAGCCCTGGGGGACATCAGCTTGGCAGACGGACTCTGCAAACCAGGGTCATTTGGGTAGGTACCTTGCTGCTGTTGATGCATTCAGCAAGTCTGATAGCAGAAAAACGGTGATAATCCAATCTTAGTTCACGTGGGATGAGTTTTAGAACTGGGTGAAATTTTTCGGACAAATACTTTATTTGGCAAAAAAAAAAAGGCAGTTTTGGGCTGACCAAAACTATTCACGAATTTGGGTTGAATGCAATGAATAGTTTTGGCTGCAAAAAATGACTTTTTCTTAATGTTGAAACATTGCATGTCGATGTTTTCAAAATGAAAATGTCAACTTTTCCGTTCAGAACGACGTTTCGTTTAGAAATGTAGCTCAACTTGTTTTTAAAAAACGAAAAAGGGGAAAATAACATAGAAAACTATCCTAAAAAAATGCAGGGGGGTGGGATTGTTTTTGGTCAACAGAACCAAACCATCAATTCTTCATTCAGCTCCAGCGCAGTTCATCCCTGGACAATGGAGCCAGAACAAGGGCTAAACATCATGATAGTCCCACTTAGGCCTGTGCTGGAACTTGCCCTGTCTGTCTGCGCGTTACTGCATTCGGGCAGTGCCCATTTGGCACACTCACAGAACATGCTCCCAGCTCCCCATGGAGAAGTGGAGCTTACACTGGCCACAGAAAGGGCGGTGTTCCCCAGGGATTGCTAGTGAGCTCCAGTAACAAGGGGAGCTCAGCCTGGGGCAGTTGCTAACCTTTTCCTTCAGCCCCCCTGTTTGAGGCAGACTGATCCTACAAGCTAGATGTGAGCGAAAGCCCTGGAGGGCTGCTTCCAGCAGTGACCTGGGGTGGGTCTTGGGAAGCGCCGCCAGGAGCTAGAGACGAGGTCACTGTAAATAGGGCTCTGAAAAGACCCCAAGAGTGAGCTGAACTCCCGCTGGGACCAGTAGGGATTGTCCGGGAGTGAGGGCTCCTGTAGGGAACGCAGGGGCAAGAGGCTCAAAGCTGCTACGGCTTGAGACCAGGCTGAGTTTGGGCCAAGTACAAAGCCCTCAAGAAAGGATGTAAGCCGTTTACAGGCTACATGCTGGCCCCCCTGCAGAGGGGTGAACTTCGCCCCTAAACAGCCTCACGGAGGTGATATGCAGCGTGTAGTCTCTCCTAGGCCCCATCCTTTTTCTCCATCGTCTGTTCTTTCTTCCTAGCCTTACTGCCTCACCTCCAGTCTCTGCAGCTCCCCATGATCAGTTCCATAGCCACAACTCATCACTCTCCTCTACCCGTCCCATCTCCTCCTACCGCTCACCTCCTCTGCCATAACGCTTCCATTCTAAGCACACCTGTAATTGCCACGTTGCTGGGAGCGATTGTTGTGCAGGCAGAGTGGGAGTACACTGGAACTCAAATGCATTAAGGTGAGGCTGGGCGATTCCTGTGTTTTCCAGCCTGGCTCGGGCTACTCGGTCCCCTTGTTGGATCTTTGCCCACGGTTTCCTTCACTGGGCATCAGGGTTTGGCCCCTTTTTCCAGCCCAAGTCTGTTTATTGTTGAAGACAAAAAGAAAAGGACCAGTAGGGCAGGGATTTCAGGAGCACTCCGCTTCGGCCCGGCTCTGCTCCCGCTGAAGTCAGTGGGTTAAATGGGAGCAGAGCTTGCCCAGAGCTGAGCGTTTTGAAATTCCCGCCCTGGGAGTTTGGCTGCTGGCGTGCACTGGATTAGATACAGGCTGAATCGTGGCGGTGCGAAGCTTGGACAGTCACGGCACAATCAGGAGGGAGGGTTAGGAAATGGTGGGCTATCTCTGCTGGATAATTGGCCGGAGAAGTCTAGTGCAGCAACAGAAATCAAGGTCTCGAATTGCTGGCTGGGTAGCTGTGGGCCACATGTTCTGTGTTTGTTTGCAGGAAATGCAACCAGCGACAAAACAGAAGGCAAGAAGAAAGGGAGACCTAAGGCAGAAAACCAGGTGCTGAAAGACATTCCTGTAAGAATCCAAATCCATTGGTACCCTGATTTCCCCCTTGCCCTCGTCTCTCTCTCTCGCTGTGATTCTCTCCTTCCCTTTCTCTCTTCCTCATCCTGTCCAGCCCCCTGCAAAGGAGCTAGTAAAAAGCCCAACCCCAACCCCTACGTGTCTGAGGTGGGGCAGGGCCAGCACCAGGTACCCAGGTGGTGGTCCTGATCAGCCGGTTTTAATTCCACTGACTGTGAAAGAATCTGGGGAGATGCTGTTACAGAGCCTGTGTGTGCATCTGCCAGAAAGAAGGAGAGCGACAACCACCAGCCTAATTGAAAGCAACTCCCCCTTCCAGCATGAGGCTGCTTTGCAGTCTGGGTTAGCAGTGCAGGCAGCAGTCCGAGTCCTTACAGCAGCCCGTCGAGATAGGTGAGACGTCACTAAGTGAGATGTCCCTCTTTGATCATGGACGGTGCAATGTGGGACTGACCTGCTGAGTGCCCAGTGGACTCAGGACCTCTCAGGAGCAGGACCTAGGGATGCTGCTTTTAAAAAGCGGACAGCGCAAGTCTTTGTTCATGCAGTTACCACGGTTGCACATGCAAATGGGATATCGGCAGACACAGATGTCAGCCATCTCGCTGCCCCTTGGGAAGCGTTTTTGCTCAGGCTGGCCCTGCTGTTGCATGTGCTAATGAAGCTCTGTTTGCACACACGTCTGTCTGCACGGCCGGGTGTGTCGCCTTTGAACAATTTGACGCCAAGGGTGATGTGCTTATGGGAGCGACGTGGGTGACAGGATGATGTGAGCTATGGTTTATTTATGGGGATTATATATAAAGTACGGCTTAACAACTGGCATGATCCACACTGTGGTTTCTTCAGTAGGGTTGCCAAAGAGAGGGGTGTTTGATGCATGGGTTTGGAATTACTCATTGGCATAACGTGAAAAATAGACGCAGTCCAGATTCCAAGAAGTGACTGGCAGGTTGGATGCCACGCTTGAGACACCCGTGCAGTTACTCGGCACTTTCTGGGCCTCTTCCCGGTGTCTCCAGTTGGACACTCAGCATCGCGAGTCACTTGTATAGGCTTTTGCATGTCAAGACAGTGCTTTCCATTAGGCAGGTTAGAGATCTGGCATATTCATCGTGGGGGTGTCAGAGCTGATTTAATTATTGGGTGGCACTTAGTAAAGTGTGAGTTATTCCCTGGGGAATTGTACAATTTAATTTCAGTCCTGTAGCATGGACAACATATGGAGCAGGTTGTCATTAGACTAGGGTGCGGCGTGATTTGCTGACCAGATGAAATGTGGGGTAGTTAAATCACTGAGGTGACTTTTGATGAGATTTATGGGGCTGGGCTAGAGTGTATTTTAGTCATCTGGGAAACACAGTGAGAGATGGGCTGCTTCCCTTTTGCAGGTGCAATGTGTGAGTGCATGATTGCATCCCCAGTTGAAGCAAAACTGAGTGCATGTACCTGACTGAGGGTAGAAAGCAGGCGGTGACAGGTACAAGTAGTTCATTTTACAGGTGCACATTTTGAGGACACGTTGAGCCTGCATTCTCTGCCCCAGCCCTTCTGAAATGTTCGCCCCAGCGTGTGTTGTGTTCATGGGATGCTGGAAGGTGTTTATTCAGCTGCGGGCCACCATGTCTCCCTTTCTCAGCTGCCCCTGATGAACCAGTGGAAAGATGAGTTCAAGGCCCATTCCAGGGTGAAGTGCCCCAATTCAGGCTGCTGGCTGGAGTTCCCCAGTATTTACGGCCTGAAGTACCATTATCAGCGCTGCCAAGGGGTAAGGAGGATGGAGGTTTGTGTTTCATTTTGATGATCCATGCTTGTGTGTGTAATTTTCAGCGTTCCCCTTTGCTTCCAGCACAACACTCAAGCCTGGACGATTTCTCAGCAGTAGGGCTAAATTGCCTGGGGGGTCTCAAGTTTTCGCAGGCACCTTCATATTGAGTCAATATTTTATCCCCACCCCTCCTCTAACCGTCTGCCCATGTGCAGTGCCACCCTGACGTCTGGCCTTTGGCTGGAAGGGAAGGCTGAGCAGTACCTGTCTGGGCCCACTGCGCCTCTTCCCCTCCTTCATCACATGCTCTGTCAGCTATGGGAATGGGTTTCTCCAGGTTGCTTTCCATGTGGTGGCGTGATGTTAGTGAGCGGCAGCCTTCTGCGTTCCAGTGGTTTCATGGCCACCAAAGCTGTGTAACTGGCTGGCTTGGATTATTGGGCAGCTCTCAAGAAGAACACAGAGTTGTCTCCATTAGGCACTTGAAGTTGTGGCTTGGGCTGGAGCATGGGCTCTGAACGTAGGGACGAGGATGGGCTTCACAGCCTGGACTCTAGCCTGAGTTGCCACTTCAGAGCGTTGTCTGCACAGCTATTGCGAGAGCGCAAATGCAAGCCCCACTAAGCCATGTCTGTCGACCCCCCGCTCGCTGTGCAGACCTAGCCTAGTGACACATCTGCCAGCAGGGCTCTAGCTAGCTTGCTCAAAGTATCGGTGAGGTGCAGCGAGGCGGGCTACACCATGAGGTAGCAATGCGAGTACGCACCCGGGGAACCTGGGGGACTTATGCAGTTAAGTTTGATCTGAACGTAACCTTTTTCCTAGTGTATGTGCAAGGTAACACCTTCAGACTGATTTACTGGCTTGAGCTATAGCCTAATCAGGGCTACCACTTGATCTGTTAAATCACACACATAGGTGCTGGGACTAGGGGTGCTGTTGCCCCTGGTTTGAAGTGCTTTCCATCATATGCAGGGTTTACAGTTTGGTTCAATGGCACTCAGCACCCCCACTGTACACATTGTTCCAGCACCCCGACCTTGCATATACACTAGGAAAAAGCTCACAATTCAGGTGAGGCATAGTTAACCTGTGTTAGCTAAGCCTGACCTACACTCCACCACTTTTCCTCGTTAAGACAAAGCTCTCTTGTTCCTCAGAATATTGACGTCTTGAATATTCCTTGAAAATCTATGGAAAGGTCGCAAAATGCCCTGGGTTGGTTCATTTCAATCATAGACGTGCAGGACGATCTCAACAGGTCGTCTAGGCCAGTCCCCTGCCCTCGAGGTTGGCAGTGAATGGCAGGGGCATGACAATCGAAATGAGCTGGACCTTTTAAACCATTAAAAAATCCAAAACCTGCCCAGTGGAGCCACCCTTTGAGCTGTTGGGGGGGAAAATATGGTTGTGGTTAGTTCGAATGACTCCGCTGTTTAAAAAGGAAACGAAAAGTTCATTTAATTAGGCTCTTCCTTATCCAGGAAGATGCAAATTTTGTTTGCGGTTGTCTTTTGTGCAAGTATCTGTGCGTGTGTGTGCAGGCCCACGCCTGTCTGCGGAGCATGGTGCAGAAATCCAAGCTGAATTACCATCCTGCAAAAGGAAATTGCTCGCCTGGATTACGTGACCTCCCCTCTAAAAAGAAAACCACGTTGCCCACAGATGCCCTTTTCAAAGAGAGGGTGGCACAATCCCTGCCCTGTGCAGCTCAAAACAGGAAACAGGCTAGAGGAGGAAATATGTTGTCCTTTTCCCCCCCCCCCCCATTTCTATCTGAGCAGTTGGGATTGTGCGGAATTTCTGGGCAGGCTCCAAACAGGTGAATTAGTTGAGATTCGAAGGCAACAGAAACTGAGCCGTGATGTGTTTGCAGAAACCTTTCAGTAATCTGCAGTCTCCCCTCACTTTTCTGCCCCGCATTTATGGCACTGAGGGTTGCTGTTTATTTCAGTCTCTAATAGTTCTGTAGTTTATTAAGAGGCGGTGTGAGCTGATCACATGGGGGTAGGTTTGCTTTACCTGGCATGGCATGGGTAGCTCAAAGGACGGGCAGAGAACATTTTGAAATATGGACTACACACTCCCCGAAATGGGATTATCAAATATATTAGCCTCTCCAGCTGTCGTGTTCCCTTCAGGTCAGATTGTGCAAGTGGAGGAATTTTGCGTGATCCTGTGCAAAGCTACATTAGTACCGGCTAAGTGCAAATCAACAGGAAACTCCGCTCACTGCGGGCCCAGGCCAGTATCCAGCCCTTAGCCCAGCTGACTCGACTGTGTGCTGGGGACGTGCGAGGGAAGAAAGCCACTCTGCGGCTGGTACTCCAGCCTGAGGGCCACAGAAACCCCTTTGGCTGCTGCACTGCCTGCCTGTGGTGAGGGACGGTGGGTGGATCTGCAGTGATGTGCATTCGCTCCCTCGCCCCAATGCATTGCTGTGCTGGGGCACAGGGAGCCCTGGCATGCATTCCCCACAGGCTGCGCAGCCTTCTCCCACCCCATGCCAAGGAGCTGCGTTGGTTCTGCTGAACCTAAGGCCCCCATGGAGGTGGGCAATAGATTTTCCCCAAATGTAGGGGCCAGGCCAGAGCCTGCTATTGCCCTGTTTGAATGTACAGTGGAGGAGTCAGGGGAGGCAGTGCACAGGGTTCTGATTTCCCAGGAGGGACCTTTGCATATAAAGAGGCAGATCTAACACTGCATTTCTTGACACGTCCCAGTATAGATGTGAGGTGAAATCCTGGCCCTATTGGGGTCAGTGAGAGTTTTGCCCTTACTTTCACCAGGGCCAGGGGTTCACCCATAATCTCTTGAATGGAGACGGTGAGTTCTCGTGCTCAGTTGCTGTTTGCATCCATTAAACTCCAACTCCTTCTACCCAGGCGGGCTGGACTAATGCTGCATCCCCTGACACTTCCCTTGTCTGCACCCGCCTCTCCGTGCCAAGGGTCAGCTCTTTCCTTTAACCCAACAGAGTCCTTCCGTAGGCAACCCCACCCCTGCTCCCATCCCCCTGGATTCCCATTGCCTGGGGAAAGGCTGATAGAGAACTTCAGGTTTTTCCCTAGCAAAATGATCCAAGTCCCACATGGCCTAGTCCCCATCAGAATTGTAAAGCAAGGGCTTTGCCTAAGAATTAAATTGACGGGGAGCCCAGATTGCATGGATTGAGGGAGTGAAAAGAGAATGGGAAAGGAAATCACACTGCAGGATTCACCCTCCAGTTCAAAGCTGCAACTTGAAATAAACTGGCCCCTGTTCTCAAACAGCAGCCATCTGAATTGTGCACAAAACTCCAACTTTTTAGCAACCTTGCAATTGAACATCTCTGTGCCTGTTTGCATGTGCAAATGCAGGATTTGTGCTTGCAGTTTAGGCGGCTGTTTGCATTAGGATCTCTGTTATGCTTTTATTTTAAAAACGGTATTCTCTTTTCATCCCCACGAAGGATCAGATTCCCCTTTTGATGCACCAGGGTATGTGTATCTCACCAAAGCACTCCCTGGCTCCCATTTAAAATGCTGGCTGGCATTTCCAGTGGAGCCAAAGAGAAATAACCCTCTAGTTCCCATTGAAAGTCAATGGGGGTCAGGTACCTACGGCCCTGGCGCCTTTGAAAAGCTCACCGGCTGTGGCATGTTGCCGATGGCGCTCGTGGGAAGGGATTCTTCTACCTCCCAGTCTTGGCAGTGTGAGTGTGCGGGGAGGTTCTTGCACTTGCAGGGGAAGGGCTGGTCCTTTCCCTTTCCCACCTTTCTGCTCTCTTGCAGGGGGCAATCTCGGAGAAGCTGACTTACCCTTGCTCTTACTGCGAAGCTGCCTTCACATCCAAAACCCAGCTGGAAAAGCACAGGCTCTGGAACCACTTGGATAGGCCAGGACCAGCTAGCAAAGCAGAAAACAAAGTGCCGAAAGCCGTGGGCAAGGCCAGTGGCAAGAAAAGGTACCGGCGCACGGCTTAGCTGCTTGCCAGTGGTTTGGGGAAGGCCGGGAAGAGAGAAAGGGGAAACTCCCAATTCTCTTCCCACTGGGCACTGTGGTGCAAGCCGGGTTGGCCGTTGGGTTGGAAGAGGTGTCAACAGCGTTGGTTTCTTGACTCCGTTTTAAATGAGCCCTCTATGCTTTGCCCTAGAGCTGCTGAGAGTTCAGATTCCCCCACCATCCATCCCAAACAGGCAAAGGTGGAGAAGACTGTGGTCCAGGAGCTCCCCGAGAATGGAGAGTGCCTCGTGGAGAGCAGGAAGAACAAAGCATTTCAGATCACCGCAGTGGAGGCAGGAGCAGCAGCTACCCCGACGGCCAAGTCTTCGAGCTGCAAGGATCCCAAACAGCAAGGGGGCACGCAGGCTTCCCTCCAGGAGGAGGACCCAGAGAGGATGAAGCACAGTAAGATTAGAGCCCGGGGCTACACTGGTTCAGGAGGCTGGAGAGGGTGGTGTCCCAGGGCGAAGGCCGGTCTCCAGTACAGCAACGTGATGGAGGGGGACTCCGTTGAAAGCAATTGCATCGCTCTCCATTTACACTCGTGCATCTGGCCCCCAGGCAGCAGGAGGCAGTGAAGCTGCACAGCACCCCTCCCACCCCCGTGTGGGCCCCAGCCACAGTCAGAAATCAAAGCCACGTGCACAGAGCGGTCGGTCGGTCGGTCGGAGGGGAGAGTGCATGAGACTGACATGGGTCACGGCTGCATTGGGGATGGAAAATGGTTCTGTGGAGTTCCGCTCCCAAAGCACTTAATGAGCCATGAGCTAAGGAGACCATGCATGCAGAAACCGCGTAGGGGGTAGGGGAGCCATTAGTCACGCGACGCCAGGTTGTTCAACAGCCGTCAGCAGTCAGATCTGCCTTATGAAGATAGGGAATAACGTCTCGGATACTAGGGTTAGGTAGTTTTAGTTTAGAGTTAGGTAACAGACCTTTTAGCTGCCACAGGATCTGGATCTAATGCTGTACGAGGGTGTTAGACTGAGGGTCCCATCCATAGCTGCTTCATTTCAGGGCAGTAAAGCCCCTTGAGGGAGGGAGGATAAAGTGAGGTTGGATCCCTTACTGCTCACCTCCTGATCCAGAGTTCATCCAGGTTCCTTTGCACCGTGTGTATTTAAAGCCACGCTTGCACTGCAGTTATTTGACCAAATTTTTATCTCTGTTTTCTCTCTCTCGAGTCAGGAAGGAAACAGAAAACTCCTAAGAAATTTACCGGGGAGCAACCGTCCATCTCAGGGACGTTTGGATTGAAAGGTAACAGGCAGCCCTGTTTCAATTCCACAGCTTATAGCTTCCCCCTCTGTGTTCCCAGAATACTGCCTCACCGACCTGCTCCTGTGAAGGCAGGTATCTGTGATCTGTTCATTACCCAGGGCACCCCTAGCAGAGCCTCCAACAGAGGCATTGGTTAGACTCTGTTTCCAAGATGGGCCCTAAAACTTCACCTGTGAATGGCTTATGACTGAGGGCTAGGCTACACTTATATTTTATAGCGCTCTCACTGGCTGACTCAGGGGGGTGAAAAATCACCCCCCTGAGCGCAGCAAGTCAGAGCGCTTCAAAGCGCCCGTGTAGACAGGCTCCGAGCACCGGGAGCCGCGCACCCGGCGCTCGGAGCTCATCCCCTCATGGAGGCGGATTACCAGGAGCACTGGGAGAGCTCTCTCCCGGCGCTCGCACGCGACCGCACTCGCACTTCAAAGGGCTGCCGCAGGAGCACTCCCGCGACAGCGCTTTGAAGTTTCCAGCGTAGCCATGCCCTGAGGTTATCCCCTCTGACCTGCCACCCGAAAAAGGAGGGATGGGGCAGCCCCAGAAGTATGGCTGCATCATACTGCCTCTGATTTAATTTTCTACCCGCAGCTCCACCCCAAGTATGCTCCAGCATCCTCATCTCCTTCCCCATCTCAGATGTCAGCAACTGGTTACAGGATCCCTAGTGCCCTTAACAGCCAGTTGGGGCCTGGAGTTCGCCCAACATTTTTGCATCATTTCTGCATGCGCGGTTCCTGCCATTGCCTGAGCAAATCAGACGTCTGTGCTCACAAATACGCATCTGCACTTGCAAATGCTCAGTTTTCCCATGTAACTCCTCCCATGCGGGCATGTGCAGGAAGAGCATGAAACCGATGCCTAAAAATGCACGTGGCTCTCGGGACTCGCATTCTAAAATCCCAGTCTGCAGGGGTTGCACAAGAAGTGATGCTGGGCAAACAGGTCTTGCTGCGACCCACATCTGCCCCTGTTGGCCAGATTTTCAAAAGTGGCCTTTAAAACTGTATCTTCCATTTCTTGCACGCACCCAGGTGGGTAACCTTCCTGTTAACTGCCCATACAAGGTGGGGTTGTGCGTGTGCAGAGCGGAGGGGCATCAGACGGAGCTGTTATTATTACTATTTATTTGTTGGTCCGTCGGCTGCTTGTCTGGCACTATACAGTACATAGGGGAAGACACGATCCTGGCCCCTTTCCTCGGTGGATTGTCGCCAAAAAGAATCACCTAAGAAGTGTGTCTTGAGGGACCAGAATGAAAAGCGAGTAATCGCTTGTTCCAAGCGTGGAACAAACTGCAAAGATGAGGTGGGAGAAAGGACACAAAGGCATGATTAAGCAGGGAAGCTGGACTGAGTGCCGTTCACTCTGTGTGTATAGCACTCTGCCTGCTAATCCCTTTTCCACCAAGAGCAAATTTGTTGGCCTTTGCAGTCAGACTTGGCAATGCAGCAGCTCACTCAGCACCGCAGATGGCAGCAGCCTGGTGTCCCAAAGGGATTTCTGTTCCCACGTGTGCCTGGCACTCACTCTTACACTAGCCCTCCTCTCTGCTCTCCTCTTCCCCTGCAGTTTCACACAGTCTGACAACACGGCATGTTTAAGGAAGTCCCAGGATTCACGATGGCAAATTTTTAAGGCTGTGGGGAGTAAAGGTCCCATTTGAGATCCCAGAACTGTGTTATTTCATAGTAGGGACCGTGGATTCCTTTTGTGAGCAGTTCCCCAAAGCTGTACCCTGCACGCGTCTCTTAGCGGAAACAGCCCTTTAATATTGCAGTGTCTCAGAAGCGGATCCTCTTTCAAATTCCTCCATCAGGCGTCAGACAGAAATCCCTCCCAGCTTGTTCCCCTCACCCTCCATCCCTTAGCTGAAGTGATGACCTGTGCTCTGTCTTGGCTTGGAATTTCCCACGCTGTAAACTCTTTGGGAACAGGAAAAGTGTCTCGCTTTCTGTTTGCAAAATTCTACGTGCATGCATGACTTGGCATGTCATAGTCATGGGTCAAATCCTGCCATTGCTGCTTAGGCAAAACTGCCATGGACTTCAGTAGTCATTGTGCCTAAAGGACTGCAGGATTTTTGCCTAATGAATCAGTTAGATAACGTTCACCGGAAGAGCATCCATCAAATCTCTTTGTCTTAAGGCCCCGGTTTCATGGTGTATGTCTTTAATAAAGGTTGCTCTCTTTCTACAGGCCTGGCAAAAGCAGAGGACAAGGCAAAGGCCCATCGAGCCAAGAAACTGGAGGGGACCAGCAGCACGGATGAGCTGAAAAAGAAGCCACCAGGAGCCAGTGTGAAAAGGGAGGCCGTCGCGCATTTATCGTCAGGTGAGGCGTGAGGATTCCCCCGGCCTGCTGAGAACTGGGTCACTTGGTGGTAACCGCCCAAGAGTGAGGGAGGAGAAACAAAGCAACAGTTTGGTTAATGGAGCTAGGATAATAAGAGACCAAAATCATTTTGCCGGCGTGAGGAATGACTAGTGGTTAAGAAAACGTTTCGACACTTGTCTCAGTGCTTGGAGCACTCAGCCGTAGCTTATTTTTGAACCTTCCCATTCACTATAGACTCGGTTCTCAATGTGGACTTTGGGGTCTGAGTGACATTGAGGCCCAGATCTCAAGCCGAGGCTGAGGAGTGCTGGGCAGAGCTCAGGAGAGGGTGGCTGAGAAGATTATGTCGCTGTTTCACCCCCGTGATCCTGGGCTGGTCTCCATTGTTCCAGTTCCCCACGACAATTTAGAGCAGCCAATAGGCCGCTCTGCGTTACCCCAACTGTGCCTGGCTCTAAGGGGCCATTTTAGCAGCAGGCCATTCAGCAGCGGGGTGAGGTGTCCTTGCCACAACCCCTCCCAGTGATCCTGCTGCACAGGAGAGATTGCCCAGTGGCCAGGGAAGATGGCATTAGGGCAGCTCTGTGCGGGGAAAGCATCACAAAACTTGCCCAAGGCAGCCTAGAATCTGCCCTGCGGCTTCAAGTAATGACACGATAAGCAATGGGAAATGACATAGATGCAAATCTTGCCCCTCGTGCGTGAAGTCGCTAGCCAAACTCCCACTGAGGTCAGTGGGACCAGCGTCTGGGCTATCGGCTGGGCTTTGTGCACAGTTCTTCCGCTACTAACTGAATGAACATACCGACCATTTGATGTCTGAAGCCTGCGTTTCGGAGTTCTTCCTCAGGCGCTTGCTTTCGCTGGCAGTCTTGACAGGGAGAGGCATGCAGGAGGCGCAGAATAAACACAGCTGCAGCGCTTTTCACCGATTGCACATGCAAATAAGTGGCTCTCTGAGCTCATCACAATGCGGAGATGTTCAAATAAACAAGCTCAATGGGTCACATGCTGACCATACTTCCCCGGTGTAAAAGCAGAGTCACCCTATCTGAGTCAACGGAGAGAACTCCAGATTTACATCAGTCTGAGATCAGAATCTGGTCTCCTGTGGGGGGTTTTTAAAATCTCATTTCACACATTTAAATAAACACACGTTGGAAACTTGGCATGCAGACAGTAGCTGCCTATGTTTGTGCAGGTGGCAGAGATACCAGTTACAGAGCTTACATGCACACAGTCGGTTCGGAAGCCTGACGCTTATGTTTCATTCCTTCTCTGAGTTTCTCTTATGGGAGATGAGTTGCTGTGGGGGAGGAAGGATCACTCTCAGCCGCTCTAGGGGCCGTCTGTCTAGTGGCCCCAGCTTTCCCCTAATGGCCCACTAAACTCTATTATACCATTCAGCCACTAGGTGGCATTGTGTGCAAAATACCTTCTTTAAATGAACCTCAGCCATACCTGGCAGAGCATTAAAGGATCTCATACACAGCAGGTGTGATCATCATAAGCAAGCTCTGAAGCCAGGCCGTATCTGGTACAGGGACATGACATGGTACCAGGAGTAAACTAAGATCAGAAACAGAGGAACAAAGCAAAAAGATTGCACAGGTTGCAGAAATAGCTTATTTTTGAACCTTCCCATTCACTATAGACTCAGTTCTCAACATGGACTTTAGGGTCTTAGTGAGCAAGAAAGGTTGCAAGATCTCATCAACATGCCACTCTTCAGTGCTCCCAGAGAACTCCAGCTTTGATAGGCCTTCCCAGTGGACAGACTGGAAGCAGTGTTTTGCAAGATTTCAAACTGCAAACAAACTCCGCAAAGAAACTGGAGATATACAGGTATCTTCTTTAATTTGTGCTATGGGGAAGCAGGCAGAGCATATTTTTAAACCCTTTGACTTTACTGAAGACAGTCACAAAGATGTTTATGGAAAGGTTTCTGCCTATATTTGACACAGATGTGTTCATCAGAAAATTCAAGAACCAAGGAGAAATGTTGAATGTTTTATAAGAGCTCTGCATACATTGGCTGAAAACTGTAATTTTGAGCATGCAAAACATGAGAATATCAGAGAGAGACTCGTTATTGAGTTAACAGATAAAAACCTTTCACAGCAGCTACAGTTGAAGAGAGATTTAAACAGAGCTAGAGCTATTCAGATAGTAAAGCAGTCAGAATTAGGGAAACAACAAAACAAAAGGCATGAGCAGTCCAAAAAACCTGAAACTAGCTTAGAAGCTATGAACAGACACGTGAGAGTTAAAAGTCATTATCATACAACTCCTGAAGGAAGGTGAGAGAGCTCCCAGGCTAAGAGGGACAAATTCCAGCCTACATGCACAAGGTGTGGGAAAAGTCATATCCCAGGAGATGATGCATGGCCAACCGGAGACACACGGTGTAATACATGCACAAAATATGGACATTTTGCGGCTGTTTGCTGCACCAAAGCAGTCAGGGAGTTGACTCAAATTACAGACACTCAAGAGGCATTGTTTCTGGGATCTATCACTTGTGATGACACAGAGCCTGCCTGGAAAGTGAAATTGAATATTCATGGCAGAACTATGGACTTTAAAATTGACTCAGGAGCTGATGTCACAGTCATCTCAGAAAGGACTTAGAATCACCTTCAGCTCGTCCCAGGCTGGAGCTGAAGTCACCTGACTTGGCTCTGAGTAGCCCTACAGGGATTCTGAACTGCATGGGCCAGTTCATCACAGAAATAATTTACAAAGACAAAAGCTTTGCATTCAGAGCATGTGTGATCAAAGGATCAAGGACCAACAACTTTCTCAGCTGAAAGGTGGCAGCTAAGATGGGCCTAGTAAGAAAGGTGGAAGTCAGAAGAACTCTATAGGGGATTTGTTGATACTGAACTTTTGAAAGGAGATCCAGTTCAAATCAACGTAAGAGACAATGTACAGACTCCGCTTCCTGAGAGACCTAGGAGGAGATTTGCTGCAGATTTATGCAGATTCAGAGGACATAATTACCTGGTGCTTGTGGACTCTTTCCAGTTATACTGAAATAATGTACTTGAAAGACATAACAGGTCGCAGTGTTATTGAGAAACTGAAGTGCCCTTTAGTTCACTTCAATATTTGAGAACAACTAATAACGGACAGTGGACCACAGTTCACTGCAGCAGAATTTAAGTAAGTCCAAACAACACATGATTTTGATGCTATTACTAGGAGCCCACCTTACCCACAAGCAAATGGAGAGGTGAGAGAGCTGGACAGATAGCCAGGAAAATCCTACAGCAGGGAGATCCATTCTTGCTCTTCTGAGTTACAGATCGACACCTGTAGTGGCTACTGGTTATAGTCCAACACAACTCCTGACAGAAAGACATCACAGAAGCACTCTTCCAACTTTGGAAAAAACCCTATCTCCAAAGTGGCCAGACATGAAGAGAGGAGCCAAATCTGGTAAAAAAGTTAAAAGAGCTTATGAACACTTCTACAGCAGCTATCACTCAGAGAATGGCCACATCGAGAACCTGGTGACCATCTTCATGTCAAATTGGATGTAGCAAAAGGATGGGCAACTCCAGCTGTCTCAAAGGAAAGCTCGATCATACATGATCAAGACCAACAGTGAAGAGTGCAACAGCAACGGCTGATATCTCCAGTTTGCTCCTCAAAGAACAGCACAGAGCAACACTACAGATGACAGATGCAGAACAAGAAGAAGAATCCAGGATTCCAAACCAACCACAGCCAGTCATTGCAACTAATGGACAGCCAGATGAACAAGTTGTTACACTTTTGGGTCATGTAATTAGAAAACCAGTATGATCCTGCAACACGTATCAGATTGATCTGTACTGAACTACAAAGGTAGCATGATAATATAACAATGGGAAATGGTAGGCGTGTAGAACTTTAAGGGGGAGAAGGCATGGAATGCTAAACTGTATTGTACTGGTTTCAGAGTAGCAGCCGTGTTCGTCTGTATCCACAAAAAGAACAGGAGGACTTGTGGCACCTTAGAGACTAACAAATTGTACCGTTCAGCCACTGGGTAGCGCTGTGTGTAAACTACCTTATTTAACCAAGTCTGAGCCATACCTGGCAGAGCATTAAAAGGATCTGATGATGATCACACCTGGTGTGTATAAGCAAGCTCTGTTGCCAGTCCATATCTATGGAACATGATACTGGTCTCCCCCTGTTCATCTCAACTTAACCTGAAATGAGTCAGTCAGCTCTGAAACTCCAGGGCTTGCAGTCTTCCTTTGTCTCCTTCTCAGTTTCTTAGAGGCAGCCTGGCACAGGGCTGTTACCCTCAGCTATCCCAGTCCTTTCGGCCTCCCCATCTTCCTCTGTTCTGCTTCCTTTATAGCTGGGCTTGTTTTCCTTATTGGTCCCAGGTGAGGGTGCATGCCTCCATGATCGGCAAGTCTGCAGCTGTGCTGAGCTGTGTTCAGTCTGGTCTCCTCTCCTTTCTGCCGGTGCTCAGTATGGGGTTTGTAAACCACATTGCAAACGAATGGCCTAGCAGCCTGACTCTGTGCATGAAACAGGAACATCCTGGTGCATGAATTACCCAAGTGCAGAAACTTCTCAGCAAGACCAGATTCTGGAAATATGTATTTTTCCCCATTGCGCACAAAAATGGGCATGCAAATGAAATGACTCTGTGCACATGGCTCCGTTTGCCCAAGCTGTTACAATAATTTGAAGTGCAAATTAGGCACCCAACTGCCTTTTTGCACCCAGAATTTTGGGAATGTGGTCTGCAATGTGGGGTTTTTTTCTACGAATGATTTGTTGCATTTGACCATTTCAATGGCTTCCAACCTTTTGAACCTTGATGTTTCTCTTATTCATGAATCCTGGAAAGGGCTTTATTTTAGCACCAACGGTTTACCTGTTTTGCCGTTCTTCCCCCCTCTAGCAAACCCAGAGGATCAATGGCAGCGGGAGATCAATGAGAAAGGAGAAGTTGCCTGTCCTACGTGTGGCGTTATAACCAGGAAAACCATTGCTGGGCTCAAAAAGCACATGGAAGTCTGTCAGAAAGTAGGTGCTTGCAATCAGTGTTCAAATTTAGCTCATTTATTCTGGTGGGGAAGAAATTTGCACACCCTAGAATGAAATAATTGATAATAATAAATACCTACCTCTTATGCAGCACCCTTCCTTGGGAGACCTCAGAGTGTTTCACAGTTGTTAATGGATTTATCCTCATGACACCCCTGAGAGATAAAATAAGGGGGGAGGGATAGCTCAGTGGTTTGAGCATTGGCCTGCTAAACCCAGGGTTGTGGGTTCAATTCTTGAGGGGGCCATTTAGGGATCTGAGCCAAAAATTGGGGATTGGTCCCTGCTTTGAGCAAGGGGTTGGACTAGATGACCTCCTGAGCTCCCTTCCAACCCTGGTAGTCTATGATTCTATTGTCCCCATTGTACAGATGGGGAACTGAAGCACGGAAAAGCTCAGGGACTTGCCCAGGGTCACACACAAAATCTGTGGAAGGGCAGGGAATTGAACCTGGGGCTCTCAGGTCTTCGGTAGGGGCCCTAACCACTGGGCCATCCTTGCTCTTGTTTATTAATTAATAATTAATTAATCGTCTCTAACTGATATTGGTGCTCACTAAACCTCAAGCTGTGGGACACCTACTGGTTGTCTCCAGAGAGCTGACTCTGCGCTTCAGGCTGGCTTCTCCGCCTTCATTTCCAGCTGCTAAATTAATAGATTTTTAAGGCCAGACATGCCCACCGTGATCATCTAATCTGACCTCCTGCATAACACAAGGAGTTTCACCACGGGACATTCGCGCACTGAGCCCAATAACTTGTGGTTGTGGTCGTTCACATCTCTCAGAAGAACACCCCGCCTGGATTTAAATTGTATTTAAAATAAGGCAAACACACACTCAGTACCTCTATCCTAGTACTTTTCCACGTGGGCTATTGCGGCCTCCGGAGACCTTTGGCATTGTCAATGGGCGGAGGTGGTCCCTGGATAACGAATGCAAGTGGAGGCATGGATGAGATCATCTCTGTATTAAAATGTGGCCCGTTAAACTTCAGTCTCTGAAAAACCAACTTACTCAAAATCCGTTTCAAACAGAAGATGGGTGCCCGATTTTCAAACTGTTTAGGCGTGCAACTGCACACGCAGCGTTTGTGTCTAATTTATCTGTGCAGTTACTGCCCTTGAGTGCACATGTTGGATAATGGCGGCAGTTTTTCCAGGCAGGTCCCCAATTTGGACACACAGTTGCAGTAATTGCACACATAAAGGTGCCCCAAAAGCTTTTAGGAAACTGGTCCAGTACATTTTTGCATAAGCTGCTATTTTTTTATTGGCTGGACACAGCCGTCAGTTACAGCTGTGCGACACCCCCGGTGCATGCGTATGCATTGATACCCATTGTATGCGTGCTGCTGAGGCCAGACTTTGGGGCAACGAGGTGTGTTTAGTAAGCCTGTCAAAGTGCTGTCGGTCAGTCATGGTACCGTGAAAAACTGACTCTCCTCTGCATCAGCATCCATCAGACAAACCGATTCCATCTTCATCAGGCTCATGGTGGGTTAGAAATAAATCCATCCTAATAGAAAGACGACATAGGATCAATTCCTCCCACTTGGAACGCATGCATCGCGGCTTGGCACCTCAGCCTGGGCTCTGCATATATGCAGCAGTGGGATACTATTGTCCTATGAACTCCTGGTTCTGTTGAAGTCAATTGCAAAACTCTCAGTGGCGTCAGGATTTCATCCATTCTCTCTTACTTTTACAGTGTGCTTTGTGACGGTCTCCCTAGACTAGTGGGTAACGTAAAGGGCCATGAGACCGGCCAGTCTGCTTGATGCGTGAATCCACGTGAGGGCAGTAAAACTTGCCTTTCCACATGTAAACAGGCGTGTGGGTGTGCAGATGAGGTAGCTGGGCCTCTTGCTGCCTGCTGGGTCACTCAGAGGGGCACCATGCTGTGGTGCTCGCTGCTAGCCCAAAGCTGACGCTCCCATCACTCCTGGCAGAATTTCATCTGGCCGATTTGGCCATGATTTAGCCCTGGTTTATGATTTGCAGTGATGTTAGAGCCGTGTTGGTCCCGCGATATTTTAGAGACAAGGTGGAGGGGGTGGACAATATCTTTTATTGGGCTAACTTCTGTTGCTGGAAGAGACATGCTTTGAGCTTCTTCATGGTTTCCGATGTCAGGAAAATCTCCTGTGATGGAATTGTGATGGAATGGAATTCCATCACAGCTCCTTAAGGGGGAGAAGGAGGATAAGGAGCTGGTGTTTTGCTACTGGGTAATCCCCCTACACTTTATACAGTTAGATGGACCATCAGGCTAGCTGTTTGAACGACTGGAACAATGACATGCATTGACTTCTCGTTTTGGTGGCTATTTAGACTTATTGTCTGTTGGTTCACTGCCGTGCATATTTGCCTCTGGGGTCAATAAATCTTGATATTCCCCTCAGTAGAAGTCCATATGTGCTTAATCGCTTTGTAAATTCTGCTTGTCCGTCAGCAGGTTAGAAGTTGCAATGCAGAGTAGTTCATTTTCATTGCATTTTTTAACAGGCCACATGGAATGTAGAGTCAGGGGTCATATGGCAGAGTAATAGAATAGCAGGAAACTATTCTGCTGATGAAATCTCGGTGACGTTTTCAAATAGTTCTTCAGTTTTGGATAGTCCAGTAGCAGAGGGGAGTATATCACCTTCCAGGACTCATCATGATTACAGATGTCTGCAGAGTGCAGTCTCTATGAGACCAGTAGATCTACATTCTGTATCCCTCTAATGAGCTGAACTGAGACCCCAGGTCCAAGTGCACCCAAGCCTGGGGGGGTTGAAAATCCAGGCCTGAAATCAAACTTCTCCAAAGTTTGGGGCATGAGGGTTAGAAATCCATATTTGGTGGTGCATTGGAGAGAGAGGATCAAGCTGCCAGCTCAGACTGGGTCTCAGGGCTGGAGGTTCTGATCTAAAGTTCTGGTTCAGGTCCAGCACCATTCAGTAGCCTTCAGTATCATCTTATGGGGCCTACATCAAGTGTTCCCTGTTGGGTTGAGGCAGAATGCACGCTTTGGGAAATCAAAAATGAAATGGCCGGTGTGGTGACTCTCCTTTAATCTGTTCAGCTGCAGGATGCCTTGAAATGTCAACACTGCAAAAAGCAGTTTAAGTCCAAAGCTGGGCTCAACTATCACACCATGGCTGAGCATGTCAACAAGGTAAGGGCTCCTGGAGCAGGCACTGATCTCCAGCTTTCATTCTCTCTCTCTCTCTCCAGGAGATGCAGGCGAAGAAGAATAAACAAACAATTCTTTTTTTTTTAAATGGTGAATTTGTTGCTTATGCAAACAAAGGACTGGAAGCACCAGCTTTCCACCATCCCACACACAGCTCCCAACATGTACCTCAGTCCAGATCTGCAACATGCCCTGCTTTCCCTGTCCTGAGCACTGTCCGTCCTTAACACACAGTGTATATCCACATATACAGCATGGATACCCACTGGACTCCGCACGTCATAGCATGACCAGAAAAGACTAACATCGAGGAGCCAAATTTTCAAAGTGCCTAAACTCTGCCTCCAAAATTGGGCTTGCAAAACCATGGAAAATGGGTAGTTACTTACAGAAATCACATAATTGGGCATTTAACCTCCCAATGGGCATGAAAAAAAGTCTACCTAGGATGTGCAAATGTGTGGTTTGCACAAGAACGTATCTGAGCTCATAAAAGCTGGCAGGCACAAACTTTTTGAGGCCGCTCTTAAAAATCTAGTCCTGTATATTTCTGGGAGACCAGGGCAAGGCATACCCGTATTTTCTGTATGTCCTGAATTTACCAATTCCATCTTGCCTTTTTGTTATGAATCAGGCTCCGGTGGTCTATTGTAAAAGCAGATTTTTTCACTTATGAATTGCATATGGATTTTCAAATTAGCTGTTTGCATGTGAACACATGCTAACTGTTTGGGCAAATTAAGCAAGCGGTTTCAAGGGCAGTGAAGCTCTGGAAAATCCAGCCCATGATTTTTAACCCGAGACTCTCCTCTAAGAGTTGAGAGAGAGTAATTCCTTGCGAGGGTGAAGTTTGCGACAGCACTCAGGGTACAGAGGACACGAGTGAATGGCTGACTCTGTTGCTTCTGTTACTTCCTTGTTTCCAGCCTGGTCCCTTGGAAACCGCTGGAGTTGGTGAACAGGAAGAGCGGGAAAGGCTGAGGAAAGTGCTAAAGCAGATGGGGAAACTGAAATGCCCCAACGAGGTACAAGAACAATTCCTATTTATCGTTCTGCAAAAGGATGAAAGGAATTAAGAGCCCAGATACGGAGGCGGACAGAGACGTAGCACAACGACACTTTGTTTGTGGGCGTTTTAAAATGAATTCCCCGCAGCTCAGTTCTCCCCGGGGTGTGTACGCTCTGTGTCAGTTCCTGGCAGGAATGGTCAAGGAAACAGGGAGGTTGAGGAATATTCACGGAAGGGGAATTCCCAAGTGGTAAACCCAAGTATCTGCCCCAGAAAGCTGAGTCTCCTCCAGCCAGGGAACAGAAACATAACACATGTGGGCCAGCATGTCCAATCGGATCTAACCCATCCAGTGGGAATTTTGAATACTTGCAACCAACGAACTGTTCACAAGCAAGCTCCAGGGCAAGAATTATTCACTGAAGTTCTTCAGTGAATAGCTGCAAGTAACATGTACCGTGAGCTATTTGCAGGCACGTTGGGAACAGATAAAGGGGCAAAATAATTGGCTGTGAATGGTTTGCCAGGTTGATCCCACGAGCAGCAGTTCTTTCCACCCCAAGATGTACACTTTACACCCTGTCTGTCATACGCGTTTCTGAGAATCCTCGCACCTGGGTCTGAAGTGCTGCAGGTGGCACAAGTCCAGCCCAAACTGGTCTCCTCTCTCTATTTCTCCTTGTCGGAGGTTAAATGTAATTTTTTGAGGATGTTTTGGAATGAAGGTGTCCACTGGGCAGGCCAGGGGCAGGTGCCATTGGCTGCTTTCCATTTAATTGTGCGTGCTCTAAACAAGTGGAGAGCTCGGGTTGCTCTGAACCCAAGTCTCAGAATTGTTCCTTGGGCAGGTTTGGTGGATGGTACGAAATTGTATGGGAGGTGGAGCACGCCAGCTGGCAGAGCGGAGATCTTAGGGACGTAAACTAGGACAGATTCCCCAGAAAGTGAGGAACGTCTGCTCCATTCCCAGGGCAACAAGCAGAATGGGTTTGGGGCACAACATCCTTGCACAAAATGAAGGACGTGATAAGAAACCTCCCAGACTAGTTAGAGAGAGGTTGCGGGGATGGTGCAGCTGCCCTGTAGTTCGCAGCTCTCACAGGAGTTACATGGGGAAGTCCAGGGTCCATGCCGTGGAGGTGCAGAACAGCGTGGTAGATGGTATTGATGTGTTCCTCCTTGAAATGTTGGAGTGATGGTGCTATGATCCTTTCAACCTGTTTGCATGCATGAGCAGTGAATGCACCATCTAACCCTCTCTTGTTCCCATCTCCATAGGGCTGCACAGCCAACTTCTCCAGTCTGATGGGATACCAGTACCACCAGAAATGGTGTGGGAAGCATCCCTCTGAAGTGGAGAAGCCCATATTCACCTGCCCACATTGCAGGAAGAAGTATAAATCCAAGGCGGGACATGACTACCACGTGCGGTCGGAGCACACTTCTTTGGTGAGTCTCAAGAGCAAGGCTGAATGTTAAAGCTTGTGTCTCTGTTCACTTAAGCAGATAGTGCAGTAGGTGCAGCAAACCCCCACAGCCCCCGTTATGTTCATAGGGCAGCAGGAAACTCTCATTACAATGGGACCAAACTGTCCCTGACTTCTTTAAACACTATCTTGGAGTTTTGAGACAGATGAGAAAAATTCCTGAGTGGAACAACCAGGGTCAAATGAAGCCTCAGTTCTCTGTTGTTTACACGTCTCACTGCCCATTTAAATGTTCAGCCGGGCATGTAATTTGAACGTGAAACTATCCTCTGATAGGGCATGAACCAATCCCATCACAAACCCAAAGAGAGTCCCCACTGGAGGCTATTCTTGTGAGTGACTGCTGCTCAGTGTGAGTAAGGCTGGTAGAACTGACTTCTGAGGGATACATCTATCCTTGAAGTGTAACTTCCATCTTAGCTTACCATACACGTGCTATCGGTGAGCAAGCTAGTGTGCGAAAAGTAGACGTGTGACTGCAGCGGCGTGGGTTAGCTAGGGTCCCGGGCAGGATTGTGCTCGCGGTGGCCAGCCCATCCCATAGTCAGCGTTTCATACGTTTTGTTGAAATCTACTGATGGAACAGTCACTCACTGCTGTAACTTGCTCAGACTGAGACATTAATATACGTGGGAACATGGCTAGGGTTAAAAGACCATCTCACAAAAGAAGTTAGCCTTCTAGCTCTGTTAAGAAGGGAGCTTCACTCCAGTTGGAGGGCCAGATTTGCAGCCTCCAGCCTCTAACTTTGCATGTTTGCTGAGAAGGCCTGGGAAAGGGCTCTTAGCGTTTTGCAAGCCCAAAACTTACCTGTGTGTGACAGTTTATTTGCAGCCTGCCGTGCAAGTAACGGTGTGTGCAAAAGCTGGTGTGCAAATATGCAGGCCCTGAAAGCTTCCAAAAGCAAGATCTGAAGTTCCCTCACCAGTGATAAGAAGACTTTCCTTTTCTCATAGGTCTTTCCTCTCACAGCTGTTAGCCTTTCTCTTTCCTAACCCTTTCCATATTTCAGCCTCCCGAAGAGCCAGAGGTGAAGCCAGAGGCCACCCCAGTAGAAGATTTTGAAAGGACTCCTAGTGGTAGAATCCGGCGCACATCAGCCCAAGTAGCGGTCTTCCACCTGCAGGAGATAGCTGAGGATGAACTGGCCAAGGACTGGACCAAACGAAGGATGAAGGACGACCTGGTACCTGAAACTAAGCGAGTAAGAACTCCTGTTTTTTCCTGCCATTACGCTAGGTGTGAATGGAGACACTGGGGTGCCACACACCTCTACATGCCAGGGAACCAGTTGACAGCTGGGGTGGATCATTTCTCCCTTCTTAAATGAAATAATAGTGCTCGTGTGTGGGCATCTGGGGAGCCATTGCTCTACGCAGATGCACACTTGCTGAGCCTCGTCTCACCCTCACCAGCTCCAATCCAAGGCAGGATGCATCTCCATGCTTGGCTGAGAGGGAGTGGGCCTGGAGGGAGCTGGCGATTCAGGGTGGGTCTACACAGCATGTTAAGACCGGGCTCTGACTCAGATTTGAGCTCAAGGCCCTTTTCCATCCCCACACACTTCAGTCTGACTTGGATCAGCAAGTACTCAGGACCCAGACCCTAGGACTCTGCCAGGGGGGTGGGTCAGAGCCCAAGTCCTGCTGTGACTCGGGTCCAAGCCCTGTCATTTTGCAGTGTGGAAGCAACTCAAGCCGCAGTCAGATGGTCTACGCAGTGCAATACGGACGTGTTGGCACGGCAGCGAGGTCCAGGTCCAGCCATTGTGAGCCCAGGTTTACGATGCAGGGCGGACGCTCAAGCACGGGCTTGGAAGCACCGAGTCCACAAGCCCGGTTCTTACAGGGTGTGTAAAGGTACTCTAAGAAGGACATGGTGATTGGGGATCAGGTCTTGCAGTTCCATCCTCCTCCTCGTTGTGCTGCCAAAGGGCATGAAAGTCTCAGATACGATCCACTTCCTTCCAGTTCTCTTCCCTTGGCCACTGGGAGAAGCTTCTTTCCCAGAGTCCTTGAAGACCGAAAGGATTATATATACCCAGCTCTGAGCTAGCTCAACGCCTCTTGCAGTTTGCATGAAAAACCTGGCCATTTTCATCTCTCAGGGCTGAAGCACAGAACCCTCTCACCGATGACAAGAATTTATCCCAGTGCTGCAGGATCTTGACAGTGCACTGGAGTTCCCAGGCTGCTTTGCGGTACTCCACAAAATTAAAAGTCACATGCAATTAAATCGAACATCCTGTCCCAGATCCCTGGGGATGCAATACCTGCAAAAGCTCCCAGATGACCCTCCCCGGGAGAGACATTTTCCTCATCCTGAGCCGCAGCAGGCAGTTACTCGAATCAAATTGTAAAGCTCATTTAAGAACAAAGAGAAGAAAAGGAGCTCTTCAGTCTTTCGGTTTGATGGCTCAGCAGTCTGAGGGGTAGTCAGCACAGCCAGTCTGCAAGCCCTTCTGCCAGCGGTGAACCTGCTTCCTGAGTAAAGAACTAAGCAAGGCAGGTGTCCTTGCAGTTCGACTCTGGCCTTCCTAGCTTGCTTGATGTGCTTGCAAGTTTTATCAAACGCTCTTAAATCATCCCTGTGCAGAGGCATATGTGCCATTCCAGCCCTGTTTTGAGGGCTTAGGTGGGAGTTGTTTAGGCCTGTGCTAGCCCTCTGCATCTGTGAATTCCCCGAAAGTGGGCTTCTGCTCCGAAAAGTGACTCTGAAAATGGTTCCCTCTTGTCATCCCGCTAACAATAGTGACTCGTAAGGTTTTCTTCCTGCTCAGCATTGCAGAGCTGATACAGTCACGGCAGAGTGAGTGGGATTCTGGTCATTATGATTTTGATTACAGTAGCCTCGAGGCCCCACCGCGCTCTTCACTGTACATACATATAGTGAGACACTCCCTGTCCCAAAGTCCTTATCGTCTAAACAGAAAAGACGGACAAAAGACGGGGAGAAACAGACACAGAGAGCGGTGAAGTGACCGATTGAGGAATATGAGTGACACAGCTCGCAATAACAGCCAAGCTTCCTGAATCCAGTGTCATTTCAGTAGACTCTGCCTGTCTGTTCTAATCCATTCTGGCTCTCGTGTTTTCAACAGAATTGTTCAGTAAGTTCTGACTGCAGAATGTATCCTCATTTGCGATGCATAAGCCCCAAAGAACCCAGCCTGACTCTCAGATCCCAGCCTGCATGGGCAGAGTGGGCAGTTAGAAAAAACATCTTCCTTCTCGCTCCCTGAGCAGGTGACATCCGGGCATCACTGAGAGGCAATGAACAATGCACCATGATGCCTTTTGTTTTCACAGTCTGTTTTAGAGCTGAGCTGTGCCGGAAGCCTGATTGCTAGAGCGGGTTGAAATCTTTTGTTATTGAAAAATTCCGTTTTGCCAACATCAAAGTGCTTTGGGAAAGCATTTTTCAACCAAAGAAAAAATTTTTGAAACAAACGTTCTGTTTTGTTTCAAATATTTTCAATGAAAAACTGATTTTTTTTTTTTTTTTTTTTTTTTGCTGAAATTAAAAATGGATTTTTTTTGCCAGCTCCATTTCTGACCATTGCTTGAATTAGCTGGCGAAAGAGCCATTCAGCTCACTGTGAATCACTTGCTCACATATGGGCTTTCACGTTCTGTAAGGAGCTTGTTAGCAATCACTTGTCTCTGCTACCCAGCTGAGTTTCCCTGCTCTCCTTGTATTGCTTTGCTTTGACTCGTGATGATGATGATGATTTGTGTTGCCATAGAACCTCGGAGTCCTAGTCATGGACCAAGACTTCAGTGTGCTAGGTTCTATACAAATAAATATTAAGAATGGGAGGAACTTCCCCTAGAAATAATGTTCCTTTTTTTTTTAAGACATTTTCATTTGTTTAGATTTTATTAATATTTTCCCTTGTCTGATTGTAACCAGGGACACGAGCCACAGCCCTTTGTTAAGAAACCAAACTAATTTTTCAACAAGCCTCAAAGGGGAAAGGGCATTTATTGGTACATTTAAAGTGATAGTTAGAACCTCCTCCTGTAAAACGCTGAGTATCCTCAGCTCCCTTAGACGTCAGTGGAAAGTGATGGCTCTTAGTGCCACATAGACGGTGCTCAGCCGCTAGCATGATCAGACCCCTGTTCCACAAGAAATGGGTTTGAATCTGGATTGAGGCTTTCCCAGACTTTGGGGATCAGGAGCCTTGAGGGGGTTCATCATTGTGTCCGGGGACCAGCTGTCAAATTCAGATCTGGGTTTGAATTCTGAAGGTGTTCCATTGGGCCCCGCTCCACCGTATTCCTGCCAGAGTCCCACTCCCTCTTTGGTGTTTTTTTGTTTTGTATTTTGGGGTGGGGGAGTGTGTTTTATTTTATATACAGGGCCCTGGGCCTTTTACCAGGCTGCAGCTCTGTGAAATCCTTTTCGGATTGTTCTGAATTTCAGTCTCTGAGTGCTATGATCTCTAAAAGAGAGGTCATTCCCAGGAATGCGTGAATGCTGAGTATTCCCCATAAAGAGGAGTTACATCTTCCCCCATGTTCTTAGCCCAAAACACTGATGTCAGCCTCTTGTGGGAAAGTCACTTCTAGTTAATACTTTGTCTAAAAAATATGGTTAAAGGGCCTTACTGCAGATTCCGAGCTCCAGAGAAGGGTCCTTGATCTCAAGAAGTCTGACTGCAAGCTGACGTATCCAGGGGATTGTTATGGACTTGACTTTTAGGTAGGGTCGATATCACAAAGATGAATTTTTTCTCAGAAAGCCTTGAGTGTGTTGCAAACAGGGCCTCGTTGCCTTGACAACTCATCTTTTCAAAAAGTAAATTCATCATACGCCCTATTCACTGGCAAAATAAACAGCCACGAAAGAGGCAGGAGGGTCTTCGCTGAGCTGCTGATAGGAGTTTTGCTGACTTTAAAATACACTGCTAGGCTCTGCATTGCTTTGCTTGCTTTTCTTTTCTTTTTTTTTTCCTTCTTTCTTTCAGAATTGCCTTTTCCCCCACCAAACTGGCTCGCTTCTCTCAGCCCTGGTCTAAACTTAAAAGTTTTGCTGGCATTGCTAAGTCAGTCAGGAGGGTGAAGAAATCCCTCCCCTAACTGACATAGCTGTGCTGGAAAAAGCCCTAGGGTAGGCACATTCATACCAGCAAAAAAAAGTCCTTTTGCTCATGTAGCTTATTTTGTTTGGGAAAGTGGTCTGAGCTGTCCTGGGGGATAAACTGCATCTCCACTGGGGAAGGGTTGCTGTAGCTACAACAGTAAATCCTCTCTAGTGTAGACAAGGCTGCCATTTTCAAGGGTTATAAGGGAATTAGGTGCCCCCCAATTTTCGGTGCCTAAGGCCTTATGCTCTTTCCTAAAGGCCAGCACCAGATACTTGCCATCTACTTTAGAAAGTGACCCCTCAGTCCTCGGCCTCTCAGAATTCCCAGTCTATTAGCCACCACTTTCACAGCATTTGGAGGAAAAATGCCCATGAAAAAGGGAACACCTCCCATCTCTACCCCTTTCAGGGCAGCGTTGATAGTCCTGGGAACAAAGTTTAAATCCTGGGAGTAGTTTGGTACGTCACAATTGCAAAATAACTCACTGCAGCCTCTTTATCCCTTAGAGGAACAATTCAGTTCTGTCAATTCCCCCAGCTGACAATTTGTTAGCTGCAAGCCCCAGTGGAAAGTTTCTTAAATGGATGTACCTCACTTTACATTCATAACCCAGGTCTACGGCTTGCTCAGTGTGTGCCATATTCCCTTCTAGTGACTGGACTCCCCCACAGAAGATAACAAACTTCTACAACTACCAGCTGATTGAAGTTCTCCTGTAGCTCAAGTAGTGGTGGGCTGCTATAGAGCTGAGACCCTAAATTCAGATCCTGAAGATGGGGGTTGTTATAATGGCTCTGAGACAATTTAACAAGCTCCTCATAACCCAGGCTCTATGGCACTAGAGAAAAACGATTCCTCCAAAATTAATGCACTTTAACAACATGTTCCTCTCTGTGCTAAGCAAACCCATGTTTCTAAATATCGACTGGAGCCTTGTTTTCTTGACCACAATCTTTATATGACTCTGGTTAAACTGAAACGGATGACGTGTTCCATGCTAGGTGGCTGCTGGATATGTCACGCTTTGAGGGCACGTTCTGGGAAAAGCCAAGGAAGACACTGTACATATTTCTCCTTGAACCTCCTCTGACATTACTGGGACTTAATGAATCTAACATTTCCAGGATGGGGCATCACTCAGATCTCAGACTTCATTCGCTCCAGCTCCAGGCTCTGGAGTGATGTGTGCACGTACCTCAACGCTTTGGAGGAAAGAAATCGCACAGTGCTACCTCTCTGGAGCACAAGGACACACTTCTAAAGAGGCAAGGTGACAGAAGATCTGTTTCATGGTTTGGTGCCCTCCCTCTGTGGACCGGTTTTATTTGGAGAAGCAATTCTCTGTGCAGGAAGCCCAGAGCGACTCCCCTGTCCTAGATTTAATGTGCCTTATCTCAGGCAGGGACTCTGCCATCCTAGCCCTGTTTTTCTCGGGTCTCTGTTGTGGCCTTTTGGGAACTAAACTGTGATTTGCTTTTGTGGTTTTGCTAGTTCTTTGCGCCTGCAAAGAAATGGCTGAGTGCTATGGCCTGTTCTGGTGAGCGCTCTCTGGCTGCATCAATGTCTTGATTGATTAGTTATTATAAAGATTGTGGCTTTCAGGCAGGGGTGGGTGGCCTACCAAGGGGTGCTAATTTTGGTTGGACGTATTCCTGGAGGTTTCATCCCATGACATAATCGTTAATTAACGATTCATCTTTAATTCCTGGAGACTCCCAGGCAATCCTGGAGGGTTGGCAACCCTAGGCCTAGCGTTCGGTGAATAAGCCCTGTTCACTCCTGGAACTGGAGGCTCAAATCCTAGCTGAGGTCACATGTGTAATGAGTTGGTTGGTCTTGCCCTAACCTCTTGTGAGCATCTATCCGCACCATTGTCCCACTGGCATCTCTTTGGAGGACGGTGAGTGACGTTCTCACACCGATTGAGGCTGAAATTCGCTAGCAAAGCTGCTGGTGTAAAGGAGGAAACACGCCTCAAGACCCCTCCGTGCATCCACTAATAGGCAGCAGCCAAGTTCCAGTTCTGGCCTTTGGCTGAACGAAGAACTATGATGAGTTTAGACCTGGGCTCAAGCTGTGAAATCCAGACCGGGATCTAGATTTCCAACACCTCCAAAATCAGGCCGGGTTAGATATGGACATTTGTCTTGGCCTATTATAAAGCAAGAGAGCAAAATTAAATCTGGGTTTGATTTTCCAACAAACCCAAGGTGGAGGCAGGAATGAGTTTAGGACACAGGATGCTGGTTCCAGCCCATCTCAAAAAACAGGGTTCTGTGCTCTGCACAAAAGCCTATTAATTGAAGATCTAGGCTGAGACTCACAAACTCATTACGCTTGTAACCCAAACTAGCTTTGAACCTACATCTCCAAAGGTGAATTGCCAAGTAACTGTCTCCTCTTCCTTCCAGAGTTTTTGCTCTAGAGAGACAGCATGTGATCAGAGAACAGTGTCTTATGCTAAGAACCTCTCTGACTCATAAAGCCAGCTTGATTTGCAGTTTGCTGGCTCTAGCTTGGGCAGTAAGTGTGGTTTTGATTTGCTATGGGGTATTTTAGGGAAGGAGAGCTGTCTAGAGGGAGAGGATTGAAATATGAAAGCTAATTAAATACAACTGTCAGTCAAAACGCCTTCTCACCCCACTCCATCCTCCCACCCCCTGTTATTCTCCTGAAATGATGATGGGCCTTAGCCAAATACAGTTGTAGCTGTTTAATGATTTGGCCATGAAGATTTTTATTTACAGGCCGTTTGAGAAAATAAATGGAAAAAATAAAAATATTCCATGCCTGAGGCTCCTTCTTAATACAGACATAAAGATGATGCTGACGTCTCTAGAACCACAGTGCTCTGGGGAGACATGGGCTTAGCTAGTTATTGTGACACTGATTTCTCTCTGGAGCTGGGAAGCTGGAGTGACGAGAGATGCTGGAATCTCGGCGCCCCTTGTGAGGCTGTGGGGATGGGCAGTTGCTGGCTCCATATCCAGTTGCTATTAGTGTACGTTTGTGTTATTTATTGATTTTTTTTTTTTTAAGTTTTAATTAAGGGGGTGGGACCCTTTGCTGCCCAGCTGTAGGCACCAATGACTGAAAGGATTTCAAGGGCAGTGGGCATTGCTTTGTGTGCTCCTCCCCACTCAGGTCTGGCATCCCCACACAGCTCCAAGCAAAGATTCCTGTCAGGAATCTTTGTTGGCTCCATCTGGCTGCCAGTTATGGCCTTTTCAAAAGCACCATGTTTCTCCTGAACAGAGCTGAGCGCGTGGAGGTTGCTCAGTGGTCTGTTCTGAGATGTGGCTCTTTCATTTTTCAGTTACATTTGATTGGCAATGAAAGCCCCGTGTTTGAGGACAGACCTCTTGGGTCATTAAAGTCATCTGACCTTGGTGGGACACTGGCATCCCCTTTCTCAGCGAGTGCCATGTTTCAGAGCAGATTGCCGGAAGGGGAGCATGTCGCCCCATCCCAGGTAGAAGAAGGCAAGAAGGCAAATTCAGCATGTTCAGAAAAGTCACAGATGGGAAAGAAATGTAGACTGTCAACTCCCAATTCTATTGGAAAATGTGATCTTGAATTCCTTTGGGGAACACTTTCAAAACAAGTCCTGTTCTTTTGCAAGCACAGTTAGTTTATGCATTATCACTTGTGAGCACAGATGGTAGAATTTACACATACAAAATCCATCAGTCTAAATTTTCAGAAAACTGTCTGCAGTTCCACACACAAAAATGCATGCATAAATGCAACAGCAGTAGCTCCATATGCAGCTAGCCAGTTAGACTATGTCAGTCCCCATTTATGCGTGCAGTTACCACAACACAGCATGCAAAGTAAGCATGCAGTTGTGTGTACATTTTCCTGAAAACGTAAGCCACCAGATGCACGTGCAAGAGTACAGCACAGAAATTGCCCATGGACGTGATTGTGTGTGTGCAGTGCTGCGCATACAGAAATGGAGTCCACAGTGAGGTCCATTTGAAGGTTTGGTCCCTTACACGAAGCCCCAAAGTTACTAACAAAGCTGTAATTAAAAGCACTTGGAATGAGAGCCCAAGCCAAAAAAGAGAGCGGACAGAGACAGAGTCTTTCATTGTTTAATGGAATAGTCCTGTTAATCCGTGGATGGAAGCCATATAGGCTGTTGAAAGTTAGACATCACACCCTCTGCCAACAATAGAGTGTTGTTTGTTAATTGGTTAGGAAGTGCAGCAATTGCTATAGGGGCATCTTTAGCACAAAGCAGTGGAAATGTTGGGCCCAGTACTGCCCCCACTGAAGTCAATGGGAGATCCGACTCCAGGGCAGCTAAGTTTCTGTCTTCAGAAAACAGCTGCTTCAGATAGCACTGGCTGGCACCAGTTGTAGTGGTGACAATTTCTCCCACGCGACTCTGTCATGTACCTTAACCAGCCTCACTTTCATTCCCAATCCCTGGCCACTCCAGACCGGAGACCGACTCTCATGCTGGATTGCGTTCTGTATGTTCCGTGCTGAGGGTGACGTAGCTATGAAGGCCTTGGCTGAAACCTCCAAACTCATTGTTCAGCCCTGATTCACCTCTTCACGGCGGGGGGAAACCCATTCAAAGGCCCACAGGGCTGGTGCATGCAGCTCTGCTAATAATGTTCCATTGTTTGGCAGCTAAATTACACCCGGCCGGGGCTTCCGAGGTTAAATCCGAGGCTGTTGGAAACCTGGAAAAATGAAGTGAAGGAGAAAGGACACATCAACTGCCCCAATAACGTAAGGAGGTTCTCTGTACGTATCACGGGTGTGATTTTCAAAAGAAAACACACAGCTGGAATCTTCAGTAGAAGGAGGGAATTCTCAGTGGGAAAACCCCTGAACTGAACACGGAGATGCTTGCTCAGGTTTTTATTCAGCCCATACTTAGGTAACACTCCCAGGGAAGTTAATGGAGCTTGGCCTGAATAAAGACTTCAGGATTTGGCCCATTGATATTTCTTTGTTCTCGTTTTCCTGTTAGTTGCCTTGATGACTATTTGAAGCATGTCCAATCACTGTGCACTCCTGGGGTACTCATTATAATACTGATGGACATAATTACCAGCAAGAGGCTAGAAAGCAGAACTGGGAATCTGGGGCTCATTGTTCTAAGGGGAGAGCTCTGCTTGTTGAGCTAAACCAGCGGCTCAGAGGGACCTTCCTAAGGATTGCAGGATCTGGGTTATGGGAGCTGCTTTTTGAAGTCATGGGGAGTTTTGCCTAAATAAAGACTGCAGGTTTTGATCCAGGGAGTTTCTTTTTGTACAGGACCCACATTTCCCTAGTCTGTCCCTTATTAAAGCAAGTCAGGGTCTGATTTTTACTCTGTTAGATGTGACTATAGTAACTGATTGTGCAACTCAAGTAACTGAGTGTGCAAAGAGCGAAGATTAGCTGTTTGCACGCAAAAATACCCTATTGTGCATGCATGGCCACCGTAATTTCCCCTGTAGATTAGGGGCATGCATTTTGTGGGTGCACTTCTGCATCTAACCTCTTTTGAAACTCAGGCCTTGCCTGACCTTCCTCTGGATGTGAACTGCCCCCATCTCACTGGGCCATTGATTTATAATCTGGAACAAAGCCCTGCTAATGGGAATTTTAAAACCAGGATGTTAGCAGGGTGAGACGCGTTAGCTAATTAATGTCATATACACACACTTTGAAAAGACGTTGCTCAGAACGTCAGCTGATTATGCTACTGCCTGGGTAATTAGCCTTTCTGCCTGGATCTTCCGCTGCTGCTGTAAGAACTCCAGGAGCTGTGCAGGGCCTTCTAACGGCTAGAAAAGGTACATTTTTCACAGAGACATTTAGGGATAAATTTTTCAGCCTTGGTGCAGAGGAACGTAGCCACATGACTCCCATTAGCACTAATAGGAAACGTGTGGCTTGATCCCTGTGCATCCCACAGAAAATTAACCTCATGCTGATTATCCAGGGCTGGCAATCGAAGACAGCCTCCTGGGTACGGTGGGCTGCCGTCCATGAAATATAGAAAGACAGGAAGCAAGTTGCTAGCCCTCTCTGCCTCTTCATTTCTTTCTCCAGAGCTGTGAAGCCATCTACTCCAGCGTTTCTGGCCTGAAAGCCCACCTGACTAACTGCAACAAGGTAAGTCCATCTGAAAATGGGTCTAGGCTTTCTGCCGCTATTTCTGTTTAGGGCAGGCGGTCCTCTCTCTCCTTCTCCTCCCGCTCGTTAGGGGGAAATGGGCCAGATGCCCCCGATAGAAAGTAATTCAGAGGGTGTTTTAAAAACTATTTATCGCATTGGGTCCTTGGGAAAGGTTGATGCCACTGGGAGCCCAAACCCTCTGCTCAGCTCCCACGCAGGCTGTGCTAATGCAAATATTTCAGTGCTGCCCCACGCACTCGCTTTAACACAGCCCTCAAGGAGCCACCTCTAGGGGTGAGGAGAGGCGTGCCCGTCTCATGCTGACTGAAATCAGGGGCCTTGGTTGCCAGGTAGAGCCGGCTGGGTGAAGGTCATCCTGTGCAGTGCTCCAGCAGGAGGCCAGGCACTCCCTGTACCCTGGACGGGCCCACAGTCCTTGTACAGGGCCGGTGCAGGGGGAATTGCACCCATTCTTGGGTGCAAGGTCCTGTATTGTCACCTGCCATCTGTGAGCTGGATGGAGAGCACCAGCGCCTTTCACACAGTCCGCCTTGTGATGCTGGCCGCTTTCAGTGGCTCCCAGCCTCTGCCGGATTGGAACAGAAAGTAAAAAGCTCCAAGTCCCCTGGACCGTACCCACTGACCAGAGATGGCAGCAGTCAATTCGTTTACCCTTTCATCCAATTGTGCTGGGGATGGGGAGCCAAAATTCACCAGCTGAGTTGGGACAGAGTGTGGGACCGGCATAGCCTACTCCCGCCTCGGGGATGTACTCACAGCCGCAGCGCAGGGTCTGGTCTGCCGCTTTCCCCCGGCATTCCTGCCTGGCCACTGAATTCATGCCATCACGATCCCTCCCCTAGCCTGCTACTACGTCATCGTCATCATGGCAAGTCCCAAAGGGGCGTGGCCTCCTTGGAGATTGAACCCCACCCTGCTCGATCTCTGGCAAGGGGCTTAAGGCGGTCGGGTTGTATATTCAGTTTGTGTGCATCACTAGCCATCTTGTCACGCCACCAAAGCCTTGGACGCCCATATGAACACCGGCCACATAGCAGCATCCCTTGGTGTGCACGCCTTGGAATTGGTTGGTCTTCCATTTTAATAATACGTCCCATACCAGGCGAGCTGCCGAAACCAAGCCAGTGCTGATGGAGGCAGTTGCTGGGTTCACCTTTCTGATCTTGTCCTGCCACTTAATATGAAGCAGCTGACAAATCGGACGAGAATTGAAAACATCAATCTGGTGTTCATCAGCTTCCCTCCACACCCACGTTTCACTTCACTGCAGCGGAGCTGGTGTCACTGTGTTCTGTAGAGCAGCGGCTGTGTAGCAAACATGATGTCACGACGCCCCCACAGAGGCTGCTGAAGGACCTGAAAGCCGGCAGCAGCGGTTGCTGGAAACATATCCGCATCTTTTGAGCATCTTCCAGCACGGCCTACAAGGCTGCCCAAGTATTTGACAGCTGCCACCAGTTTGATACACCGGCCGCACAGGTTAATACTGAGCTGGTTGCAATCTGGAGTTGGACGCTGCTTGATGGTAGTGGCCTGGCACTTATCTGGCTTAATAACCAGACCAGCACGTGTTGCTTCTTGCCCAGTTAGACCAGCCCTCAGCTGCAGCGACTCACCAACCTGAGCCAATAAGACAATGTCCTTGGCCTACTGAAGAACTCAAAGCAGAACAGGGTTCAGCTCCACAACAGCTGCCTTCACAAGCTTATCCATCAACCAGTCAGTGCAGTGCTGATGCCGAACAGCCGTGGTGACAGCCCTGCCACACACCCTTGGAGATGGGGAACCCTGCTGTGTATCTGCCATGTATCGAGCCTGATACAGCACATCCTCAATGCCATCCGCCATGCCACCTTATTCAGGCAGGTACAGACCCCACCCTCATGGTCAGCAGGGCGTAGAGAGAAACGCCTTAACATGCCAGCTAGTTTGTCAAGCACTGGGCTTAAATGCCTCTGGTGTCCTCACTTCGGCCCCTCCTTAGACAGCGTGATTCTCATCCTAACCGTCTAGCAGGGTTCTGACACTTAACACACAGTACAGTAAATACAAAATAACCCGTCGTTCAGTGCTAAAGAGGAAGGTGCTAAAGGAATTAGACACCTAACTCCTATTGACTTGGGCGCCTAACTCCACTCATCCACTTTGGAAATCCCAGCCTATAGAAATACGGTGTGTCATATAAAGAACAGAACAAAGGGCAGGAAAATGGCCACATAGTCACATTATCTATCTAGGTAAGTATCTGACCTCCACTGGAGTGAAACATGAGAGCTATTACACCCGATAGATATAGCAATAGTGCTTCCAGTTTAAATTAACTCCAGGAACGTTGGCCCACAGCAAGAAAGGGCGACTCAGTGCAGAACCATGGAATTGGAACCGAGAAAGAACTTGTAAAACTTTTTATCTCCTGAAATCCTTCCAGCTCTAAATCACAGTGAATGTAGTAGATTCCAGAAGGCAACTCTTCAGTTCCTGTGGGCCAAATTCATACCTGCTGATTATTGAAAACATACACAGCCCTCTCCCCTCTAGCCTTAACTAGAACACTAATGAGAGAATTTAGAAAATCATATGCAGAAATCCTGCACAAAAAGCAGAGTTTTCACAAAATAAAATAGCATATGCATGAGATTTTAACTGTTGTTTGGATCGATTACAAAATCACCCTGCTTGCCAGAAAAAGAGGCCCCTTCACAGCAAAGCCAACAAACTGCTCCAAACCATGCAGGCCTGCATTTGCAAAAAATATGTCTGCAGTTGCACCCTTAATTGTAGGTTGAATTACCATGGCAGTGCACAGGCAACAAATGCACAAATGATCTCTTACATCCTTAGCTGGTCATTTCAGTGCACAGCTGTGGTAACCACCCTCACAAATCAACCAAGCAACTGCCCATGTATTTTTCTAAATGCACAAATTCTTGTGCCTTATTCTGCAATCTACAGGCTTGCCTCTAGCATCCTGGGTACAGATCAAATCATGTAGTCCTGAGTCAGGAGCCACCCCTGGTCTCCAACTTGTGCAGGGAAGGACACAGACTCAGTGCAGTTCCCTGGCATGGGGAAAGCATGGGGAATTCCTGTGCAATCAGCCTGCAGGTGTCCTCTACCACTGTGTGGAGATGTAGTTTGGTAGCTGAATGTGGGACAGGCAGGGCAGGGGACGTGTGGCTCCCACACACAGACTGGAGGCCACAGGACAGCTCTGGAGGATAGTTGGAGGATACTATGCCCCATGGCTGCTATAGAACTCAAAACACACAAGGCAGCACTAGTGTGAGGAACTGGGTCTCAGCTCTTACTGTAGCATTGACTTCAGAGGGAGTTTTGCTGGAAAAAAGACTGCAGGATTTAAACCTCCAATAATCCTCTCTACTAATCAGTGGGGCGGGTGAGGGGGGGGTGTCTGGCAGACACCAGCAGTAATTCTTATGAAACCCAAGGAGCTGGACTGAATTACATCTTTCATGCAATCCCAGTGGAGTGTTTAGAATATATTTATGGCTCATTCAGAAGGGTCAAATTGACGCAGAATCATTGCACTAGGGTCAATATGGATCAATGATCTGTGATTTTTGCATGCTCACTTCTGGGTTAAGTGCTAAGTGGGAGTCTGGGCTGACCAGGCCTGCCTGTCTGCAGACACAGCTAGGAAATGAAAGACTGTCTGCCATAACATTTACAACATGAACCCAATTATGAAGAAATTCCCACAGAGCCCATACATCGCCCAGAGGGCCTAATATATAATTCCCTGGCCAATGGAGAACGTATTATCTCCTCTGTGCCAGTGGACTGAGGCAGAGTCAAAAAATCATTCATTTTCACAAGGACTCTTAATAATGAAAATCTAGCAAATTAATGGCCTGTTCAAGAGTATGAAGGCAAAATTAGGAAAGACCCGATGATCATAAATTAGAAGTTTCTCTCCCAATAGGTGTTCTTAATGATCCCTGAATTTGCTGACAGTAAAGAAATGGTGTAGCTAGCAATATTAAATGAAAAAATAAAAGTCTGTTAATGTAATATTACAGTCGAGATTTTAAATGCGCGAACACCCGGAAATTCACATTTTCGCTTCCACAGAAACCATCATTCATTCCCCGTGGGGTGCATATGTGGTATTTTGTATTATTGTAGAAGGGGTTACTTTTATGCCTTGATACACAGGTACAATTACAGTTGCCGTGGGAACCATAGCTTTGAATTTCCTGGCTTTCAGGCAATTAAAATCCACACCGTTATGGAGGAAAATGTGCCTCTGTTTCTGTGTGAAAGCTCCCCTCTCTCCTTTGCTTCCCCAGGGAACGAGTCTTATGCATCATGTTCCCTGATGTTTTTCATGGGTGTTCCAGGGAGTAGGCCCAGGTTTTCAGGTACATGTGCAAAGCAGGTGCACAGATGCACACGTGTGGTGTGGGTAATTGCATGCACAAATGTCTCATTGAGCAGGATAATGTTTGCAGCTTTACCATGGTTGCATGCACTCTTGCAGTAATTGCCCACACAAGTCAGATACGCGAATGTGCATGCATCTGCACCCATGCCCAAAATTTGTCCTCCATTTGTATCAAAGGAAACTTCTCTTCCTTTTGGATCCTTCTGAGGAGAAGGAGCCCCCTCACTGTAACAGATAAAGGGCCGGATTACATGGTAAGCTCCTGGCCTACAGCTCCAGGAGCAATGGCGTGTCCACATAACCGTGGATGCAGTATTTTAGGAATACATCTACTCCTTTACCTTGAAGACAAAGTCTTTGAGCTCTGGATGCTGAGAGGGCATTTGTGGCCTTCGAGTGGCCCTGGACCCATCATCATGGGCCCAAACATCAGGACATTTTCTGCAGACAATGCCTAGGGATTTCCAAGGGGCTTCTGGGTTGTGAGGAGAGAGGGAGGCTGTATTCTCACCTGAAGTTTGAACGTGCTTTGGCATACAGGAGGCTGCTCTTTGCCTTTCAGGGAGACCACTCTGTTGGGAAGTACCGGTGCCTTCTCTGCCAGAAGGAGTTTAGCTCAGAAAGTGGAGTCAAGTACCATATCATCAAGACTCACTCAGAGGTAAGGAAGTGGGCGGGGTGCAGTGGGGCTCTGGGGCATGGTTGAGGCTGTTTCCTGCTAAGGTTCACCTGTGTCCACTAGAAGCTCCCGTTGGAGCTCGCAGAGTTTAGGCAGAGATGGGGGATGAGCTTATGCCTCTTTGCTTTTCTGGCCGTCCCTCCCTGTCCCACCTGTTTGACCTTCATCTGAGGCCCCAGGGCACCCGGTCTAGTATCTGGCACGTCCAGAAACACGGCACTCCTATGGCCTTGTTTTGCACACTTGGTATTCAGGGTGGGCGTTGGCAACCTCATTCAGCCTCACTTCCAACCCCACCCCCAGGCTGAAAAGCTTGACTCTGATTTGAAGGTTGTTGGATTCCCATTCTGCTTAGGGGAGACTGAGAGAAAGGGAAGAGAGAGAACTGAAAACAGAGGCGGGGGGAAAGTGGAGTGGAGCCTGGGAGGTGAGGAAAAGTAGAGAGAAACTGGGGGGATGTTGGGGGAGAAGAGGAGTGAAATGTTAAAGTGAAGAGAGATCCAATTACACCTGTATAGCACATACAGAGGGCACCATTCCTTCTGTCCTTAATACCCTGGACAGATTTTTTTCCCCTTTCGACGGAAAAATGGTTTGAGCTATAGGAGGAAAAGCTTTGCCACTCAGGGCCCTGTTATGAGAGGCAGTGTGGTCTAGTGGGTAGGCACCGGGCTGAGTCAGGACACCCAAAACTAATTTGTGGCAGTTGCAAAACTTAAGCTTCCACAAAGATTTCCCCCCTTCCCTGTTTCCCCTTCCCGCGCGTCCATCATTACATGTCAAAGCCTCTGTGGACAGAAGCTAAGAGAAGCATTCAGGCTGTAGCAGGAGATGTACTTTGCACAGCACCCCATTGGCAAGTTGAAACTGGAGGAACAGGGGCAGGAGGGTGGAATAAGGGGGATTTCCCAGTGAGAGGTAAGAGAGGGAAATCTGGGGGGGGTTTCCCGGGTGTGTAGGGAATACAGGCGTTTTCCCCGGTGAGAGTGAGGCCAGGAGGGAAAACAGGGGTTCTCTATAACAAGGAAAGGGGGGAGGTGTAAATGCGGTGGCTGGGACAGTGCTCGCCGGCCTGGGAGGGTCGCTAACCACCAGTCCTGTTCTTTTCCCCTTTGGACACAGAACTGGTTCCGAACCTCTTCAGAGGCTGCCCGGAAAAAAAAGAACAGGGACCAGATTTCCTCCAGCCAGGAGGAGAAAACGAAAAGCACAAGTGGGAAGAAAAGGGGGAGAAAACCCAAGGAAAGGCCCCCGGAAACGTCTCTGAAAGGCAAAGAGAGCACGGCAGCAAAGACTAATCTTAAGAAAGCCACAGAGAACTGGGAAGGGTCCAACTGCAGCCCCGAAGGGAGAGAGAGAGGCACCAAGCTGCCCGCCAACAGGAAAGGGGGAGCCAGTAAGATGCCTGAGAAATAAGAGGTTCAGAGACTCTCTGAGGATTAGTTTACAGCCCAGGGTAACGGGGTGAGGCCCCCCCAGTTTTCTCTCCCCCACCCCCTGCTCATCCGTTTTGTTTTAAAAACAAAAAAAACAAAAACCACTTTAAGCAAAATCATGGACCGTGTTTCACACTGGAAAAAAGGAAAAGACTGCAGTTGTCCATCCATCACCCGCGTGCACACGCCCATACCCCTGGACTCCCCTACACACACACACACACACACACGTGCGCACTTGTGCGTTCACTCGGGCTGCACAGCTCTTCCGCTGACATGTCACATAATGCAGCCAAACCTCTGCGAAGCAGGAACCCCTCCCCACCCCCGCTGACCGTTTCCTTCAGATTCTGTGCGCTGAACCGGTGATGCTTGAGCAAGAGGAAAGTGCAATAGAGGCAGGGTGTAAGGGCTTTTTATTTGGGATTGCTTGTCGGATTGCAATGCCAGCATAGGAACCGGATTGGTTTCTTTTTGGGTGGGGCCGGGGAGGGAAGAAAATGATCTTTTAGACGCTGTCCGTACAACGCCCACAAACGGTGCTTCAGCCTGTGGCTTGTTAGTTGTGATGAACTAGGGGTGGGGCTGAAGAGGTGTCTCCAGTGAATAGGCTTTGGCTACCTGTTGCAGTAGCTGGTGAGGCTTAGAAAATGGCAATCCCGAAGCCAGATGCAGAACATGGTTATAGCCAGGATCCAAAGCATCGCGCCCTTAGGAAAGATTTGGGGTTTGTAAGGCAAGCTGGTGCCCCATGGCACCCACCCGGAAGAGCTGCAGTTAAGTCCACTTTGTTTCTATGAATGATGCTACTGCTGGATTCCCAAAGGGAGAGCTGTAGCTCGGAAGCCCACCTGTTGCTTTCAAAAGATGTCATGGATCCGAGCATTTAACCCATGTTCTGTTGGTTTCATGGCCTGGCCAGTGTATTGGGCGTGGTTTCTTCTCCACCATTAGGATAGGCAGGTGTGGTGACCGTAGGTAGTGGGGCATTTGCCGTAGCACAAGGCGTTTGTCTGGTTTGGCCGTTGTCGTTCACAAGTAGCAAAGAATGCGCAGCGAGGCAAGAAACATGCCTGTGGGGCATGAGGAAAAGATCATGACTGTCAGAGGTGCAGCGCACTTGTGATTCCAGCAAGCGTCCACTGGAGCGCAGGTGCCCAGCACCTCTGGAAATCAGGCTCAGTGAAACCAGTCCCAGGGAAGAGTTTTTATATGGGGGGAGGAGGGGCATTTGTTTTATTTTTTTTAATTGAAGGCCGGGCAGTTGCAAAATTATCTGAGCTCCATTGCCAGATTGAAGGGGAGAAAAACCCTCTGGATTTTGAGAACTTTTCCAGACTTTTTTTTTAAAATGTACATCAATATAAAATACTGTATCAAATTGATACTGAGCTATTGGTACAAATAGCCCGTTAGCAACAGAGCTGGGTGACTGCTGCAGAAAATATGCATGGACATTTCTTTGAATTCCCCCTTTCTGTGCTCGCTTTCTGCTGGCAGGAATGTTCACTACAAGAGCAAACGCTGTGGAGGATTGGCGGAAAGAGACTTTCAAATTCGCCATCATGAGCCTTCACCCCAGACAGCTGATTCTAAGAGTGAGGCTCATTCAGTCACGGGTCAGAAACAAACCGCATGACCTATCTGTCTGATCAAACCAGCTCCACTTTTGAATATTGAAGACTCGCAAAGACACTAGAGGGTGAAGAACTTCCGATAACTAATCCATTTGAGAACATTGCAAGATGTTCACGAACAGAGAAAGAGGCAAAATTCATCCAAGTGCTCTATGAATTAGTCACCCAGTTCTGTTCACTAGGCCAATGAGATCTCTCCAGCCTGAATTTGGTGCACTGGATTGGCACCAAGTGACAATCACAGGTCATGCTTTATAGTCACACCTCCGTGGCTTGATGGATGCACTCCTCTCTTGGCTTGTTCTCAGCTCCCTCCCTTTGGGAGGAACATGCCGCAGCCCAGGGGAGCAGCCTCTGATCCCCTGAAACTCATACTGACCTCAGTTCATCTTCCCAATTTGTCATTACTGGGAGTCCCTTTTAAACAAACGCACTTGTTTTGTGTTCATATTTCCCTGAGCTGAAATTCTCAGAACACCTCGCTCTGGGCTGGAGGAGAAACTTCCCCAGACCAAAGTCCATCGGCTTCGAGACAAAAACCAGGCTACCTCGCTCCTTGATAAATACATGGGGCTCGCTGCAGTTCATATCACAAGGAGGCTTACCAGAGCATTTTTGTAACACGTTTTTCACTTACCAGTGGAACAAAGCCCAAGTAGCTTTTCCCTCATTTGTTCCCAATTGCAGATTTTGGAAGGTTACGTTCAGGGGGAAAAAATTCTGCTTATTTAGTCAATTAAAACCTTGACCTTCACTTTGCTTCACTGCATTTCACAGCATGTCCTCCATCCCCTCGATTCTTAGTATTTTTTCATGCTCTGAGGAGCCATTCAGTAATAATTAACGTCCTTCTCCGGTGACACATTATTACTGCCGCAGAGATAGAGCCGTCTACTCCTGATGTCATGTCAACTCCGCCGCGGAATCCTCGCTTAAGTGCCCACCATATATCTTGGCAGCTGAATTAAAATGTGAGCATTTCCCCTGGTAGCACTACTAAGGAAGTATGGCTAAAGCCTCCGCTACTTGCCCCTGAAAACTGTGGCCTAAAGATAAAATCCCTCCCTTGCATTTGGCCATTGTTTACAGAACACTGTTAGGCCACATTTTAAAGCAATTAGTGAACAAATTTAATTAACCGGCACATCTGGTCCTGTTTGCCTTTTGGGTGTCATCTGTTCTGTTGTTTATCTTGTTGTCAGTAGCGCAAAGTACAGACCTTATCCCCCAGAGGAAGAGAATGCTTCTTAGTAGCCAGAAGGCCTGCGACTCCCTAGCCTTTGCTACAGGACAAACTGGAGTAACTTTCCTCACAACTTTTCAGTGCATTACAAAGAAAGTAGGAAAAAGATGAGCAGTTGAAATTTTGCAGTCATTTTGGTGATATTCTAGCCAGACAGAGCTCAACGGTAGGGCTGCCTGTTTCAAACGGAGTCATCAAAGCAGTAATTACCAGAAAGCCATTTGCACTGAGGGTTATTATTCCCAGGGTGGCGAAACGCTGTTAAACTGTATCCCACAGGGAGGCGCTGTCCTGTCATTGTTCCGTGCTCCTATTGCCGCTTGCTAAAAGGTCCTGGAGCAGCAGTCGCATTCTGCCGTGCCCTTGCAGGAATGGAACGCAGCGCGAGAAGGGCTGTGAGAAGTAACAGGGCCTCGGATTTTCAAAAAGAGCACATCCAGTTATGCTTCTAAATCCGTACATAGGCTCCTAAATAAAGTGACCTGATTTCTCAACCGTGCTGAGCACCCAGCTCCCATTGACATCAGTGGACGCTGCTGGATACTCAGCACTTTTGAGAAATCGGGTCACTTTATTTCGGAGCCTAAATCTGGATTTTAGCAACTTGATTTCAGGCACCCGCTTTTCATAATCTCAGTGAGAATTGTTTGAATAGTTACAGATTAAACACCAGCTGGAAGATGTTCAGATGAGGATGCTGACACAGCAGAAAGCATGGCTGAAAGGAACAGAGGAAAGGCTGGGGAAAGAGACGAGGAGAACGCCTACCGCATCATGGCACATACAGTACAAATAGCAAGATTACACTTAAATGCAGTTGGTATTGTGTAGGCCCAGGCCTTGAAAAACATGGGTCCCAATGCACACTTGCTGCACCCTCAAACCCCGCAGGTCTGATTGTGCACATTGGCTGTCACACAGCATGATTGCGTGTCTTGTGCATGCTTCTGTACACATGCTTTTGCAGGGGCACCCACAGCCACCTCCTTTAAAGAACTGAGCCCGTAGGCCCAAAATCTTCCCCTCAGCCCAAGTAAACGGGCCAGGCTCCGAGGACTCTTCAAGGAGGAGTCCTCTTCTCATGGCACCTGAGCAGCTACTCAAGGCTAATGGCTCCTGGCTCCAAATCCACAGTGTCCTGCTCTCCTAGGAGACCTCACCGATCTGGGCTGTGCAGCATGTCTGGGGTTCCAGCGGCTGGGCTTCCATTTGCACGGGGTTCTGTGCACCCCGCAGAAGAGGAGGCAGGACTGGCTCCTTAGTACGGGAAACACCTTGACCTTAATTTTCAATGACAGTCGCACGTTTTTCATTAATAGAATTGCAGGAGGACACTTCGGTTTTGTGACGTCCCAGATGTACAGACTAAAGCAGCTTTTGTCAGATACTCTCAGCACTTTGGGGGTCTCGCCCAGCTCTGTGCAATTCAAAATGGGATCTTCTGTATAGCCACTAACTAGGGAGCTCCTCTCATATGGTCCGGTACAGTCTCACCTGAGGCCTTTCTCGAGTGTGGAATGGGTTGTGATTAGACGGGGCATTGCAGTTGTTTATATCTATTACATGGGCATGTCTGAAATAGGCCTGAGCCACAGAATCTGGATCTGAAGCCAGGTCTCCAAGGCTCCTGTATCTGGGGGTTCCATTTGCATCTGGGGGGTTCCATTTGGTCTGTTAGGGAGAGGGAGTGGAAATTTAGAGCCGGGTTCCAACTGGGAACTTTCCTAAAGTTTGGGGGCTGTTTGGATCTAAGTTTTGGCTTGTGGCCCGTTTCTGATTGCATGGTATACGTAAGTGACATACATCCGCCGCAGCTGTGTGAGCCTCACCCAGCTAAGGCCTGAAAACGTAGGTCAGCGCTGTTCTCCGTGACAGCTGATGGGGGACGGGGGGGGTTTCTCCTTAAGCTCAAATGGTAGAGCAGCTGCTACTTCTGCTTTTAGATCTCCCGTTCCTCGGTTCAAGTCCCAGAAGGGATGGATTCCACTCAGTGGCAACCCGTTCGTGGTTCAGTCCTGCTGGCGGCGCATTGTCTGATGCTGGTTCGTGTGTGAACAGCAGTGGGCCAAGTTCATGCTGCTGAGGGAAAAGCTGGGTGCTAGATCTCGGGCATTTGAGGGTCTTGTCCTCTGTGGCTGGGGGCTTGAAAAGTGACACGAGTCTGTGTTGATAGTGGGGCTTCTCCCTTAACGGAAGTGGTTGAGCTGCTTCCCTGGGCTCTCTGCTTCTCCGGTTCAGCTCCCCGTGGAGCACCGGTGGCCTCCCCCAGTGGTTAGCACATGGGCTGGGATTTGAGCGTTCAAACGTGCACAGCAGTGGCTTGAATCAGACAGGAGTTGATAGCACCTCAGTACGGGCAGAGGAGGGGAACATCCGGAGGCAGAATGGGCCTGTAGGAGGTGATGTTTATCAGTACTACACAGCTCTCTCTACCCCATGCAGCTGGCCGGTTCGGGGTGGAGTCCTGGGCCGGCCCTGTGGGGCACCCTGAGGCGTAAAAGGTGAGAACAGGCCTCCTGCTTCGAGTGCTTGCTCATGTCGATTCCATTCTAGGCGTGTGCGCACCCAGGTGCACAGTTATCAGAATTTTTTGCCTTAGCGGTATCCATAGGGCCAGCCTCCAGAGTGCCGCGCTCATGCGCTGGTATCCAGGGCCACCGGGGGGGGGCAAGTGGGGCAATTTGCCCCTGGCCCCGCAGGGGCCCCCACAAGAGTTTTCAGGGGCGGGTCCTTCAGTGCCACCGAACACACCTGGAGTGAAGGACCAGCCGCCAAAGACCTGTCTCCACTTCTTCAGCTCCGGGTCTTCGGCGGCAATTTGGCGGCGGGGGGTCCTTCCACTCCATGTCTTCGGCGAAGCGCCCAGAAGAACCGGAGCGGAAGGACCCCCGCCGCCGAAGACCCCAGGCCCCCTGAATCCTCTGGGCGGCCCTGCCTGCCCTACGCTCTCTCCGTTCCTTCTTGCTGCCGTGACAGTTTGTCAGAGCGCCTTCCTCTTGCCTCGCAAGTGGACAGTCATTTTTCCTAGTACCTACTTGGTCTATAGTTGCTTACAGTAGCTTCATACCAGCCAGGACATATACTTACCGGTCTTCTTCCCGAAACCTCCTAAATCAGATGAGGAGCGAGATTACACTCTCTGGACATCAGGAGGGTGCCGGCTTTCTCCATAGAACGGCTCTTCGTCGCGGTGGCAGACAGGATGAAAGGCCTTCCTGTGCCCACTCAGAGAATCTCCTCTTGGATCACCGCCTGCATCAGGTTTTGCTATGAACAGGGGAAAGTGCCACCGTCAGCGATTGTACCCGCCCATTCAACCAGGGTGCAAGCCTCATCGGCAGCCTTCCCGGCCCAGGTGCCGATTCAAGATGCCTGCAGGGCTGCGACCTGGTCGTCCGTCCACCCATTCACGTCCCATTGCGCACTGACCCTGCAGGCCTGGGATGATGCTGGCTTCGGCAGAGCCGTATTGCAAGCCGCACGACCGTGAACGCCGAGCCTCCATGAATGCCGCCTGTGAGTCACCTGGAATGGAATCGACATGAGCAAGCACTCGCAGAAGAAAAAATGGCCACCTGCCTTTCGTAACTGTTGTTCTCAGAGACGTGTTGCTCACGTCCTTTCCATTACCCGCTCCCCTGCCCCTCCTTGCCAGTGAGAAGGAACTGAGAGGTCGTGAGGCCAGCAGCGCCTCATCTACCAGCATGCGAGCGCGGCACTCCAGGGGGCACCGCGGCCGGCCCTACGGATCCCGCGTAGGCAAAAAATTCCTACAACAGTATGCACCTCGAATGGAATGGACACGAGCAACACATCTCAAAGAACAACAGTCACGAAAGGCAGGTAACTGTGTCTATGCCCCTCCCCTGAGCTCAAGGCCTGCAGTTCTGTCTGCAGCTCCTGCAGAAAATCTCCCCACCCCCATCCTCCTGCCACGCACCTGTGTGCGGGCTAGGCAGTAACAGCCCCCTCGTAAGGGAATACAGTGCACTCAGGATCCCGGGTGGGGGGGCGTCTTTACTATTCACCTTTTCCACAAATCTGCCCCACCAGTGGCCTGCTTTTCAGGGGCTCTGATCGCATGGCAGTTACTGGGACCTGCAGCTGCCCAGCCCTTCTGAAAAGCAATCGGTTATGCAGCACAGCGGAGTGCATGGGTCAGTTTGTACCCACACACTGGGGCTGGGACTTAGTCCCACAGACATAGTTTCCATGCTGCTGTTAAATAGTATTTGTTTTACAGTAGCCGCCAGATGCCTCCATCTGGATCAGGAGCCCAATCAGGATCAGGGCCCCTCTGCACCAGGCACCGTAGGAGACATATAAGAAGGCACAGCCCTTGCCCTGATCAGAGGCCCATTGCACTTGTCATGTACAAAGCACATAGGACCCTGCCCTGAAGAGCTTACATTAGAGCTGCTCAAAGAGGGTTTCATCTGAAGCACAAATCCATAGTGCACGTCTGAGCATTGCCTTCCTCTTGAGCCTTACAGGCTAGATGCATGCAAGTGGGGTGGGTGCAAAAGTGCGCTCCCAAAGATTGGGGTCTGAAGGACTTGGTGCTCCTACTCTGTGGGGTTCTGTGGTATGAACCCAGTTCCGAGCACTCAGCAATGTTAAACTTCCTGCCAGTGTTGATGATGCTGGTGGGTGTGTATGTGTGTGTTCATATCTAGGACCAACTAGAGGGGAATTCTGGGGTTACCCTGTGCATGGAGGATTAGCAAAATAGCCTCATTTAATTTTGGCTACTTCATTTCATTCCTGGTCACAGCTGCATAGATTACAGTTGGTGGCCTTTGACCTCCATCATCTCTATCCAAAATCTCATGTGTTACATTTGGGCTGCCTGATCAGACCACTTGAAGCATCATCTGCCCACCCTTAAAAAAAAAAATCTTATTCATCTCCCTTCCCAAACCAGGACACTTCCATTTGCCCTTCTCTTTATTATGCCGCAGTTTCACCACCAGTCCTGAGAAAGGAAAGGAAAGTCCCAAATATTTCCTGTCCCAGGTGTGGGAAGGCTGTGGCTGTAGAGAATGGAAAGGCTACAAATCAGTGGAGTGTCCTTAGCCCACCAGTGGGGAAGGTGTATGGTAAACAGCGATTGCTGAAGTACTTGATTCCCTTCCTTTATAAATCCCGCTTCCCAAGAGGAATGCAGCTTAGGAATAATTTCCCAGGCCTCGCTCCAACTTGCAGAATGCCTAAGCAGCTGCAGCTCTATTCTTCTCAGCAGTGCAAACAGTGTTGAGACTTGCCTTAAGAATAGCTTTTCATTGCCCTTCACCCTTTCTGGTTTCACAGCACAAACAGCTGCAGAGCAAAGGAAGCAGCCTGAGACAAAGCCTAGGAAAATGCACATCAGCAAAATGAATGTGAGCACAAGATTCAGTGCAGAGTTTCAAATGTGTTAGGTGTGTGCACCTGCATGTCTAATTTGCATGCACTGGTCCCGCAGTTGTGTGCGCACACTGAGTAACTGCACGTGCAAATTCACCTGATTGGCGACTTGTGCACACAGGTTCCACGATCGCACATGCAGCAGCAGTCACTGTGCATGCAAGTTATGCCCTCATTTGCACACTGGGCCATGTAACCTCCAGAGTCATCAATACATTGGGGAGAAGAACATCAGAAATTTCTGGAGCAGAAAAAGACCCTCTGGCCCAATGTGGCAGCCATGTTAACAGTTCTCGTTCTGCCCCAATCTCAAGTTTCCATTCCTTTTCTCTCTCCGGAAGCAAAGCTTGGCGTCTCTTGAGCTCATTTCTGCTATCATTGCTGTTCCCTACAGTTTGCTCTATGTGTTCGTCACACCCACGTCTGATAGTCCTGCCAGGGTTCCACATATACTCCTAGTTTCCCACTTTCTAGATTCTTGATAATGAACTGAAGCCCGATGGCCAAGAATTCCCAGGACTGCCCTTCCCCCGGACACAATGATAGCCAAGCGCTAGGCCTCTGATCTGATTGATAGTTTAATGGTCAGTGACGTATTTTTCATAGTAGTTCGTTCCCTTCTTTCACTTTCCATTTCTGTTCCGTGCTGACTCTTTCTCTCTCTCTCTCTTCTGATTTTCAGCTCTCGATCTCTGGCCGAGGAGGGCTGGAGAGAATTTCCTCCAGAGCCCGTCAGTGTCATTCAGTCCATGGGAGCTTTCTGTATAGCAACGTGAGGCTTATGTTCCCTGCCCCTTCTGCCCTACTCAGTTCTCAGGGATCTAAGTGCGGTCCAAGTGCCTGGCCACCGTGCTCGTTACTGAAATATCCATCTGTCCATCTGAGACGTTTTGAATGCCTTAGTATCCAGGTACCAATGTTTCTGGTAGCTGGAGACCGAGGGCCATGTGCTGGCCACCGCTACAGCCCTTTTGCATTGCTCTGACCTGGCAAAGGGGCCATAAAACTGCCCTGACTGGGCAGCTTCAGATTGCCCGGATATGGGGGAATCTTTGGGTGGTAGAGATCCAACATAGTCCCCCTAACAGATCTCCTGCCTCGGTTCCTACACTGAGAGCTTGGCTGGACCCAGTTGATTGGGACCCAAACATTGCAAATGCAATTAGCTCCTTGCTGGTAGCCAAAAGCCATGAAATATATTCCTAAGTCATTTTATATTTGCAATTGGTAGCTTCAGTGACTGTTAGAAAACATTTGGCCCTTCTGCATGCATGTGGGGCTGTGTGAGTATTACACACCGGACTCTTATCAGGGCCTGATCTGTTCCTGCTAGGCAAGCACTATGCCAGTCGACTGCAATGGGAGTTTTTCCTAACTAAAAACGTGCCAGACTGGAATCTCTAGTGGGAGCGCAGGTCTGTGTGGGGGTGGTGATTAAGAAACAAACAGAAGAAAGACATTTTCCGTAGCACTGCAGTCAAATCCATTAAATACAAAGGTAGAGATCCTCAGCTGGTGGAAATCGGTGTAGTTCCATAGTTGTGAACAGCTGCACTGATCTACATCAGGAAGATCACAGTAGCACTTATTCTCTGTACGGTTAGATACCAGGGTTACTGCAAGATCCCTCATATGGGGAATGTGCGTGTAATGGCGTCCACTGTGTGCAGAGTGGGTTTGATTGGGTGTTGCTCGTTTTAGATTGTTTTGTATGTGTTTTTCTGTTTTATGGCACTTTGATACACATATTCTATTCGACATTGGTGAGGCCTCATCTGGAGTACTGTGTCCAGTTTTGGGCCCCACACTACAAGAAGGATGTGGGAAAATTGGAGAGAGTCCAGCAAAGGGCAACAAAAATGATTAGGGGTCTGGAACACATGACTTATGAGGAGAGGCTGAGGGAGCTGGGATTGTTTAGTCTGCAGAAGAGAAGAATGAGGGGGGATTTGATAGCTGCTTTCAACTGCCTGAGAGGTGGTTCCAGAGAGGATGGCTCTAGACTATTCTCAGTGGTGGAAGATGACAGGACAAGGAGTAATGGTCTCAAGTTGCAGTGGGGGAGGTTTAGGTTGGATATTAGGAAAAACTTTTTCACTAGGAGGGTGGTGAAACACTGGAATGCGTTACCTAGGGAAGTGTTAGAATCTCCTTCCTTAGAAGTTTTTAAGGTCAGGCTTGACAAAGCCCTGGCTGGGATGATTTAACTGGGAATTGGCCCTGCTTTGAGCAGGGGGTTGGACTAGATGACCTCCTGAGGTCCCTTCCAACCCTGAGATTCTATGATATGGAGCAGGTAATCTGTGCATTTGCCTATCCAAACTGGGTAACTGTGCCCACAAATGACTGCTGGTGCATGCAATTACCTGTGCATGTGTATGAACTTGTGTGTTCCCAGTGGTTGATTTGTGTGCACGCACCAGAGTATACATGACCTAAGCCACGTGGAAAGTTTGCCTCCAAGTCCACTGTCTCCCTGTGGGAATAAAACATTTTGGCCCTGATGCTCATTATCACAAAGGCCCCTTTACCCCACTCTGGCAGTGTAAAAAGGGGCCTTTAGTGCAAATGACATCAGGCCCTTTGAGATCAGCAACCCCCTATGATCCGAAGTGCTGTCTGCAGCTCCAGGTTGGTAGCAATGCCAGCAGGGTGTTGGCCACTTCTCCAGGTACAGCAGCTTTGCAGCACATCTATTTAATACCAGGAAGCTTTTGAAATTGACATTTTGGCCCAGATTCAGTGAGTAGGAGATGCAGACAACTCCTACTCACTGAATCTTGCCTTTGTGACACGCCTTTTGATTGGATATCTGGTTTTGCTCCTTGGCTGCTTCCGTTAAAACCCGAAGTGTTAACTGCAAAAGCCGTTTTAAAAATATTACCTTTACCTCACGACTCGGTAATAATCAAAGGCTGAAACACTTACCGCAGAGCTCTGGGGCGGGGGGACAAGGGATGTGTCCTTTCTATTTATCAGTCATTTCTATATTTCATGTGCAGTTTCCATGCAGAAGACAAGGCAGCAGGGTGTCGTTGTGACCTTTATCTTCACGAGCAAGGGGAGTGACAGCTTGTATCTGTTCGGTAGCTATGATTAGTTCATGGAAAGAGTTATAGAAAGAGAGGTCAGGAGCAGAAACTGGAAATAACCCAAACAAAGGTCCAGATCCTCAGCTGATGTCAATCCCTGGAGCTCCATTGAAGTCAATGCCAGTATACGCTGACTGAAGATCTGAATGAGTTGTGTTCGGAGTTCTTTAGGGGTCATCTCTCCTCTCCCCTCCTTCCCATGCCCAGGGCCTTCATTAAAGAGTTCCCATCTCTCCTCTGAGTGGGAGTCAGCTGATACCTGCAAACTGTATTGAGGATACATATTCCCAGTTAGATGTTGCCGCCCTTTGTGTCTTGCACATCTGATGGGAGAAGGCCTCAGAAACTTGCATGAGCTGCCACAGATCAGTCAGCCCAGGAGCAGCCAGAAAACAGGAAAAATCGGTTATAAAATTGTGGGCCAGAACCTCAGCTGGTGTACATGAACCTACCTCCATTAGCTTCAAAGGAGCTGCACTGATTTACCCCTGCTGAGGATCTAGTCCTGTATCACTGGCAGCTGTTTCAACACCTGCGTTGCAGGGATGAGAGTGGAGATGCTGTAAGGCTAGTTATAAAACTTGGCCAGGAGAGGAGGATATTCTAATTCAAAGAGTTAATGTGGCCAAATGGGTAATGCACTGAACTGGGACTTGGGAGACCTGGAGTTCTAGGCCTGGCTTTACTGCTGGGTGGCACTTGGGCCAGTCGTGTCCCTGCTCTGTGCCTCAGTTTTCCCATCTGTAAAAGGGGGGTGATGGTACTAACTCCTTTTGTAAAGTGCTTTGAGATCTACAGATGAAAAGAGCTAGTTATAATAGGAGTTCTCACTGTAGCTTTTATCACTGCTGTTTTTTCAGAGCTTCACCGACTGCAATAGATGATATGAATTTTGATATTTACCATCCTGGTGTATATGTCTTTGCTATCTGTGAAATTTCCAGTTGCTAGTTGTGACTAGTGGTGGCATATTTTATACCCTGATTATCCTCTTTATTGTCATAAATACTGACGCTCTGGTGGTAAGATTTTCCATCAGGGTTAGAGTTTTGGATTTAAATCTCTTTGAGCCTTTAATTGAGCAGAAAGGTTTTCAAGTTGGTTGCAAGAGGGTTGGTTTATTGTTCTTGCTGGGGGGTTTTTTCCTGGGGCTGAAGTCTGCGTTGGTCCCTCCACCATCTTGGTTTCATTCTCAGCAAGGAAGTGTTTTATTGTTGGAAGAAGTTCAGAAAGTAGATGGAAGAACATACTGTAAACATTGAGCGAGTATATAAATCTGGATCCCATCCTGCTTCTGTTGAAGCCGATGGCAGCACTGCCATTGGCTTTACTGGGATGAGGAAAATCATATCCAGGTTCCACTCGTTAAAAGTCAATTCTCATGAAAAAGGAAACAAAAGGGAGCTTGTTCTGCAGCTAGGGGGGCCCCATTGATTTCAAAGGGAGGGTCTTTCATGGAGTGACTTTGGGTTAGCAATGACACTGGGTTATATTATTCCTCTTGCAGCCAGCCGTGGTTATCCATGTATCAACAGAAACAGTGTCATCACTTGGGTTTTAACTGCTTTTCTGCTTAGTTCTTGCTAGATCGTCGGCTGGACCTAGCTTCCAGGATTGCTGTATCTGTACTGGATGCACAGGGCAATGTGGGGCAATGCACAGGGCAACGCACAGGGCATATGTACTGCTTTCACGACCCGGATATATTAGAGTCCGATCCAGTTCCATTAAAGTTAATAGATGTTAGATCATGTCCTCAGCCAGCATGGAAGCTGGGGAAAAAAACCCACTTCTTAGGAGATGGTTACACTGGAAACTTCAAAGCACTGTCGTGGGAACACTCCCACGGCAGCGCTTTGAAGTGTGAGTGTGGGGTTGCGCGCGAGCGCCGGGAGAGAGCTCTCCCAGCACTCCTGGTACTCCACCTCCATGAGGGGATGAGCTCCGAGCGCTCGGAGCCTGTCTACACGAGCACTTTAAAGCGCTCAGACTTGCTGCACTCAGGGGGGTGATTTTTTACACCCCTGAGCCAGCAAGTTAGAGCGCTATAAAATGTAAGCATAGCCAAGCACTTAGAAACTTTGGTTTCAATGGGAGCTAGGTGCCTAAATATCTTTGAGGATCTGAGCCATGAGGCCGCCCCCCATAATCTGTCCTCTGTAATCATGCCTATTTATAACAGCACAGGTGTTATAACAGCACAGTGGGGGTGGCATGGTACTTCAGAGTGGGAACAGCTAGGGCCTTTTGAGACGTCCCATCAGATTCACGTACTAAAATCCTAATACCTGAATCCCTACTCTGTGGAGACGTTCATGAGTAGGGCCCCACCAAATTCACGGCCATGAAAAACGTGTCACGGACCATGAAAGCTGGTCTCCCACATTGAAATCTGGCGATTGTAGGGGAGGGCAGATTTCACAGAGCGGAGTGGCCTGCGGGCGGCGGCGGCGGCGGCGGCTGGCCGGGAGCCCAGCTCTGAAGGCAGCGCCGCCATCAGCAGCGGCGCAGAAGTGAGGGCGGCCTGGTCTGGTATTGACACCCTGACTTCTTTTGCGCTGCTGCTGGCGGCGGCGCTGCCTTCAGAGCTGGGTGCCCGGCCAGCCGCCGCCGCCGCCGCCCTCAGGCCACCCAGCTCTGAAGGCAGCAGCGCAGAAGGAATGGTGGGGAGACTGCGACCCGGTCACGACACTGTGAAATGTGTGATTTAAATACCTGGCACCATGAAATTTACAACTTTTAAAATAAGACGATTGTGAAATTGACCAAAATGGACCGTGAATTTGGTCGGGTCCTATACATGAGCCTGCAGCTATGTACGATGTGAGCATGTAGGTATAGGCATAGAACAACAGATGGGCTGCAGAGGATAGCAGGGAAATAATTTAATTAGGAGGGCCTTGGGGAGGTTGTAACCGGGTCAGAACTCTAATACTTCGGGCCCCAGAATCCCCCAGATTTGGGGGCCCCATTTGAAGTTCTTCGTCTAGCCTGGAGCTGATTCCAAATTTGTAATCAAAACTTTTTTTAAAAGGGAAAATTTTAATGAAAGGAAAAATGTTGTGAGAAAATGTCTGGTTTCATCAGCATTTTTTGTATCTTCACAAAAAAACAAACAGGGGAGGGAAAGTTGATCTTCAGCTGTCATAAATCGGCAGGGGGGGGTGCTTTGGGGAGGTTGCTTTGTTTTTTTTTAACAAAAACTCAAAATTCCATGAAAAACAATGGAAGAAAAAAAATTAACTTTTTTCAAAACACTTTAGTGGAAAATCGATGGCATTTTCCAGCTCGGTCTGCTCTGTGGGTACAGATCACATTCTCATTGAAGCCAAAGGGGACTTGGCGTCACTCAGGACAGGACCCCTGTTAGCTGCACATCTCCCAGAGCCAGAGAGACAGGAGAGGAGAAGCCCCCGTCTGGCTACGGCTGTAGGTGCTGAACCTGACGTGACTTTCGAGGGACTGGCTTGTCCCATCCTGCCCCTGTAAGACAGAAGGAGGCAGAATGACTATGGGAAGCTGGTTGAAGTGGGCTCCGAGCAGCAAGTACTGTGCCCGTCGCCCCCTTCAGCACTGGCCTCCCCTCAGGTACATGGAAGCAAGCCCTCCTCCCCTCCTCGCATGCGCCCGTAGGATGTTCCTTGCCGGCAGTGCCTCTAGACCTGTGCTCAGCTGCAGCATTGTAGCTGCCTCATTCTTCGGTGGCATGCTGTGGAGGGGCTCCCCTGCTACTTCCCCTGCTGACGACGCTGGGCCTAGCAGCTTCTCTCAAGGGCGAGTCCTCCATCCCCTGCATCCTCCCAAGTCTCTTTGAAGGCCCTCCTTTCCCCAAGGCTGTGTCAGAGACCTGCCCTAAGGGCGGCTCTCTTTCAGGCTCTGAAATCCACAGGCCATCACAGCTCAGGGGCCATGCCTTCAGCCGGGTTTGCAACTGCGTGGGTCAGGCTAAGCATTGTGGCTCTTGCTCAGAATGAGACTGAGCCGAAGTGGGGGATGGGGACGGGGTGATAGTGGGGAACCTCTAGCCAGAATGCAAGGAAGGGGTAGGGGTGGGTCATTCTCTGTTGTTTATTTCCCAGAGCCGTCCCTCCCATGCCCCACCAATCTTCACCAGGGAGCTGACCAAATAACCCAGCCTGGCATCAGACAGGTGTTGCTGATGTGCAGGACACGTGCTTCCTTCCATATTCTCTCTAGGCTTGATGATAAGATGCTGAAAGGCTGTTTGAGGCATTTGCTTTCAGTCACTCATGGATGTGAGGATGTGCAATGGCTCCCCTTCCTGGAAAGGCCAGTCCTATAGCCAGCCTCGAGAACAATCGGGAATTCTTGTTAAACAGCAGCTGGACCACCTGACAATTCCTCCCCCCAACACAGGCTAAGTCAATACAAGCCCCTACCCCCCAAAGAAGTGTTTCTGATCATAGTGGAGAACAGTGCCTTTAGGGGCAGCCTGCAAACCTGTTCTTTCTTGCTAGGTCATTTCTACTTTGGGCTTCTCAGATGAGAAACCCCAACCCTGGATACTCAAAAATGGGCTTAAGTGAGTCTCTGCCTTTTTGAGAAATGCTGATGGAGGTAAAAAGCTAGATACAAGCCCCAAATGGAAGGTTCAAAGCCAGACTTCCCCAAAGCTGGGGCGTGTTTGGATCCAGGGGTTTGGTTTGGGGAGTTCTCTCTGTTGTGCTTCTTGCTATCTTAAGCAGCAGAAAAATAGTAGCAAGGCAGAGTAAATGCCATCTTTACTCAATATGAGAAACCAGCAGAACTCGGTTAAGGATTAAAACCAGTATGCAGACCTCTCTGAACCTAGCAGTCAGTTACACCTTGCAGCCTGGAGCAATTACAGCAGCAGAATGGGAAGCAGAGAGAGAGAGGGAGTTATTTTCTTAGCACATCATGGAAAAGAATAAAGTTCAGTACCTGAGACCCAAGAGGCGTCGAGTCAAGTTCACTTCTTCCCTGGACATGGCAGGGAGTAGGGCAGTCATCATCTGCATAGCTTGTTATCATAGCACCTTGATTGCAGTAACTTGCATTGTCTTCAGTTGTGACACTTCTTTGAAAGTAATGAAATTCACCGTTTTTCTGGGATAGTCAGAATAGCCACCAAGACCCGGCTCCTTTCGAGCCCTTTTAATTCTTTGCTGGAATTGCATAACCAGCTCAGGGGTTTAAAGGAAAATGGCTAATTTATTTGCAGTGCAAAGGAGTCAGATACTGGTCAGTTTCACTTGTGTAAGTCCTGAGTGGCTGTGAGCAGGAATTCAGCCCAAGGGTTTGCTGAGCTGCCAGATTTTAAGTGGGGAGAAAGTTCAGAAGACTCTTTTTTAATCACCTGAAAAATAATAACTGCATAATAAATCTTTATTTAAGAAAGTATTATCTACCATGGCTCACGTTTTCAACAGGCACCTGAGCAGACCTCTTACTACCCGATTTGTGCATGCAAATCTCCATTTGCGTGCACAATTGCAGCTAGTTAAATAGACAACTAGAGTTTGTGGAGGCCAGCTGAAAATTTGAGCCAATTTCTTTCCATCCAGCACAGCCCTCCCCATATGTAGGTAGCCCTAGAAAACAATTGACAGGGTATGAAATAAGTAAGGACCACATTTTCAGAATTTGGCCCCCACAATATAGGTGGATTGGTGGGAGCATCCATTTGTGCATTCAAATGAGATAAATGAACTGCACGGATGACTAATTAGATGCACAGGTACTCAGCCTGCATAAATCTATAAGTGCATCGTTTTGTAGGCCGCTTTTGAAATCGTGTCCCTCAATGTCAGTGCTGGATACACCGGTCCTAGTGTCTGGTGTTGTTGTTAGCTTCCTGTGGTTATTACTTTAGCACTTTACTCTGCTTCAGGAAGGGGATCTGCTTGGATCAAATAGCACCTCCAGGCTGGGGGATTAAGTTTAACATGGGGAGGATTAAAATAACCTAAAATGCACCCCAAATGAAGATCAGGGCTTAGATGTAGAATGAGAGTTTCAATATAAAACAACCTGAAATTATTTCAGAGGCATGGTCTTTTGGCCAAAGTAAAATACAGTATCAGTTTACTCTCTAATACCTCTTCTATCGGGAAACTGTGGGCCAAATGCTGATCTCATTTACATTGGCACAAATCTGAAGTAACTCCAGTTCCTTTTCAGTGTATGAGATTTACTCCAGATTTAGGCTGGTGCAGATCTGGTTTACCTCTCACCATGGCAATGGGACGAATTCACTAGGACAGGTCCTAACCCCTACTCTGGCTTCTTTGTGCTGTACTAGTGTTGCAAAGAGTCTGTAACGCTTCCATAACATGGCAGCTGAGGATTCCCCCAGCATGGGGGGAATTCCTGGCTGGCAGAGAGTCGGTTTTACCCATCTCTGTGCCAGCCCTAACTTGCCCCCTCTCATCTTCAGCTAAGGGAGGGAGCAAGACTGCATTCCAACAATCTCTGCCAGTATAGCGGTCTTTGGACAGCTCTTACAAGCTGGTGCAAGTTAGAACAACCTTGTGGCAGCTCTAAATTGTGCTGGGAAGCAAATCAGCCCCAAGGATCAGGGGAGCACAAAGGTGGTATACAGCCCCTATACCTCCCCGCCTCCTTTGGGTTCTGCTCCAAGCACTGGACCCAAGAATGAGTTAATGGGTCTTTTCCAACTCCGATACCTGTGATCTGTTAGATCCTGTGATCTGTTTGGACTCCTGGCTACCCAGGTACGCAAGAGGTGCAAAAAAGAACATCAAAAAATTGCCAATTGCAGTGGTTTTATGTTGGAATTCCAGTTTTGCCAAAGAAAGCCTGCTTCCTCCACCCGGGCACTGGACAAAAGGTTCTGCTCATTCACCTTGCCCTCCCATAGGGACCTTTATATCATCAACTTCAGAGTAGATCAAAAGGAAAAGTCAGCACATAACTAGAGAGCTGGAATGATTGTCATGGGACTCTGAGCTCTTAAACAAACATAACACCCCCAAAAGTTAAAGGGAGTATTACGCATATAGAGGTTGTGGGAGTGGGACCTTAGATGCCAAAATGTGTGAGTTGAGTCCCAGACAAGATGCTGAATGGCTGGCAGGCTGAGTTCTGGTGAGACATACACAGGAAACCACGACCGACCTCGCAAAGGGCACCACAGTCAATGGCCTCTCTGGAGTTGATCCCAAATACATTGAGGGAGAGACGTGCCAAAGCATTCTGTGGGTTTTTTGCATTCTTTTTTTTTTTTTAACCATTAACTTCACCAGGAGCAAGGTTCGATGATTGCTGGCTGCTTTTCAAAATCCAGCCCTGACGTTTCACAGGCTGTAGGCGAGATCCGTCCATGTCCTATCACCTTAGGGAAATTCCTTCCAGAAACTCAACTGAGCACGTTTTAATCTGATCTGTGTTTAATCCCCAATAAAACTGACACTCATCAGGTTTTGTAGGTATTAATAGGTTTTCCTTCACAATAAGGCATG